CTTTCCGGCATCGAGGTACAGTTTATCCTTGTGCTGTTGTTCACTGGTTCGAGTATATCCAGCAAGAGCGAGACGAGAACACCGGCATGTACATGGTTCAGCCCAAGTTCAACTCTGACTCTTCTCGTCGTGTCGACGTCGTTCATATTGACAGTCTCGTGCGGGCAGCTCACCTTATTCCTCACTTCGGTACAGGCCACGTCCCTGAGGAGATGCATTGTTACGACTCATACAACTCGTACAATAGCTTCTATCTCAACAGATTTGTCGATCATCACGCATTTGAGATTGCTTAGGTAGTCATAATGTAGTACACGGTGGCTATGAATCACTGATTGGAATGTCTTATACGAATCCGAGTGAACTTAAACGCCTTGTGGGCCTTTCACCTCTTATTCGCTCAGGTCGAACTTGGAAATGTCTCCTGCACTTAGTCAATTTCCTCATAAGGTGCTCGTTCGACCGGGGGTCAATATAAGCGTCGGCAAGGAGCCGCCAAGTCTGGACTCGGTAGTTAAGAAGCCGACACAATTCCTGATGTTCTTGTTCAGCTCTTCTCGTTCCTTCAAACTTCCTCCTGGGGGACACGCACCCTATTTCCGTCAACAAAAAGTCTCTACCAATGAACATGGGTATTCTAACGTGACTCAAGTGTGTCGAAAAGGGAGAGACGTTGCCTTCAAGTTGAACACAACAAAATTGTGGAATGTGATTGAGATCAAGCTTCCAGAGCCCCGTACTCTCAAATGGTCTCGGTTCACCCCCCTGTTCCTGTTCCTGCGACGATCCCGGTCCTCATCATGCCACTCAAAAGGGTCTTTTTAAAAAAAGAAGAAAAAATTATCGCTGCCATTGCAGGGTAGTAAGTAGGTACAGATCTAAATATGCGTATCTACGCTGAGTCAGAGCCACTATGGGTCAGGCTTGAAGAAGCTGGTATAGTAATAGCCTTAGCTGCGTTGTCGAAAGTAAACGAGGTTTCGTTTTTGGTGAGGCACTCGAAAGGGTCGGACGTCGTCACGCCTTTATCTGCCTCAACCTCAATGGCAATTCCGTCAAGATTGATCAGGCTCTTGCTCACCCGCCCACCAATCCAGGGAGCGTCATGGTCAAGGGCATCCATGTGGTTGCATTGAGAACCGAAGATGTCTTTCTAACAACCTTGATACCGTGGATCGCTCAGTTTGAGAACATCACTCATCTTTATTTGGATGACATTGATTTCGACTCATCTAACCGGTTAAACCCCGGAGTACCCTTCCACATTCTTCATCGCTTGACACACCTACACATGCGCACACAATGGATCTACACGACGTGGGTTGACCTGAAGTCGCTCACGATTGACATATATGATCACGACGAGGATTCCTTCTATTTTGACAGAGTGTTTCCTTGCTTCCCTAATCTTGTTGAACTTTGGGTCTCGCAGGATATCATTGATGATACGTGGGATTATCTGAGTCAATCTCCGAGTCAACAAGGTTTAATTACCTCCAAGAAGCTGAAACTATTTTCACTTGTGGTGGGCCCCCGATACCTCATTGAAGAGAACGATCGCGACACATTCGCATACGACATCAGCCCTCTTTTTGACATCCTTGCCTTCCCCGGTCTCACCAATCTTGTCGTCGCTGCTCCCCCAAACGGAAATGTTAACTTCTTGCGAAGGCTCATAGCTCATTCAAAATGTTGCCTATCTATGCTTACTACGTTCACTGAGGTTCACGAACACGATTTCGAGGACCTCGAGTAAAGCCTGATTCATCGAGCTGGTGTCAGCCTGGGACAAGAGTTCGACGTCTTTTGCGTGGAATTCATTAGCGAGTTGGAGAGCACGATAATGTACCGAGAAGCGAGGGATAGGTGGTGGTGTCTAGGATCTCCTTGAAGCCCGCGTGAGTTGGTTGTTTGGGGCTGCGACATGCCATTGCTACTTCATTGTTGTGATATGCTACTGAAACATATGCTTTTGTCCTACGTCGAGTTTTGTACGTCGTTCGACCTCTCTATTGTGGCACCTTTAGTCACTGAGGAACAGCATATCGTCAGGGGGTAATTGTTCTCGCGACGGTGACCCAACTCAAAAAGATTAGGACATATTCTCGATGTAACTGTATACATTCATTCGATATACAGTAGAATAAAAGGTGCTACACATTTGGATCGTAGGCAGGGTATAGGAAAGGTCCTGCATCAGGCATATAATCACAAACAGAAGCATAACCTCATTGTATCATGCATTGAGTCGTTATCGCTGGCTCTGTTTGGTCCTGCCTGACTCCGACTTTCTTCATCCTCGCTCTCGTCATCGGTATCGGTATTATCGCGAGCTCCGTTTGACGAGTCTGGAGCACAGTACAGTCGCTACCACTACATGTCAGCTCCGCCGAAAGAAAATGAAAGGTGAAAATCACCTGTTTCTCTCTCGCGGGAAACACTGTCACCACACTTTGAAGAGGACACTTGAGCCGCATCGAGATCTTTTCGCCGAGCACTTTGAGATTGGCTCCACTAGCTGCCGCTGCTACACGCGGACTCTCATCCTCACGCGTTGTCTCGTCTTTATAGCTCTCTTCACGGATCTTGAGCTTAAACTCGCGCAAAACCTTATGGAAGGCCCTGCCACCCCACAACTTGGACGCTTGGTCTTGTTAGAGGTCACAGGCTCCTCAGGGGCTGAAGGCGGATCGTTTACTGGATTGGAGGAAAACAACATCTAGGACAAGTTAGACTACGCCACTTCCAAAGATAAGACATTGATTTACGTTCATCATCGAGTTCAACATCGCCGCTCGCGCGATTGACTTGAGCATAGGGTTGGTGATGGTTGCAGGGTGCTAGCGCAAAGCGTGAGCGGCACATCAGCAGAATCGTGGCACGAGTGATCAACATACGTCAAGGAAAGAATCCTCGTCTGAATCGCGAACGGAAGGTGGTGCCCGCTTTGCAGGCGAAGGTGCAAGGGTTTTGGATGAGGATGGCAAGGACTCTTTGTCTCGTTCGGGATTGGAGCGCGATTCTTCCTTTACCTCGTCCGATACATGAGAAGAACGAGAACCCGCTTGCGAAGGCTTCCGAGAAAGACTGTGATGTGATGACCCACGACCTTCCTCCCACAGCGCATCCGAACGGTGTTCCAGCGTAGGTCGAAGGCGGATCTCGAACCGACAAGGAACCTCGTAAGGCTGGTCGACATCTCCATCTTGTTCAATGGTCAGCTTCATGGCCTCAGCTTCCGTGTGCTCTTGTTGCTTCATGACCTCAAACTCCGCGCGTTTACGAGCTTCAGGAGTGTGAACCTGTGTCAGATAGTGGGTATATTCTATCGCCAATCGCAGTTGAAAACGAAGTGTGCCGTACCCTGAGTAATCCGTTCAACAAGTTCAAGTCACCGGGGGAGTCGTTTGAGACCAGCGGGGACTCATCGTTGAAGAAACCTCTATATCTGACCATGGTGGCGAGGCGACAAAGTAAAGGTCAGTGGAATTTCGCACACTGCAAGCAACTCTTAATAGTAGCAGCAGTGTTACTTGAAGTTTATTTTAAAAATTAAGGTGAACGGGTTTCAATAACTAGTTCCTCATTATTTATTAGTTTTATCAAAGACAGGGCTGTTTAGCTGCGAATAACAGGCGCGTTCCTTTCCTGTCTTTGATAAAAGTTTAAATAATGAGGAACTAATTATCGATACCTGCTCACCTTAATCTTTAAAATAAAGCTTAAATAATAATGCCACTATTATTGAGAAATGTTTGCAGTGGCAGAGAAAGAACCACGCCTCACAACTTGCTGTGCGTTGGCTATGCGTGCTGGGACACGAAGCCAAATCAAGTATAACGAACCCCGCGTGTTTCAAGGAAATGACTTCCGATACTTATAATTAGGCCAGACTTGGGAGACACAAAAAGTTCGGGTATATATCCTGGTTCAGCACGCTGCCCTAAGCAACACATCTAGCTTGTGATTTGGGCATACTTTACCTTCGAGTTTCCTGACGCGTTGACCAAGTGCTGACCGGGACCGTCGGAGAGAACAAACGTAGGACTGGGAATATTTGCCTCCGCTTGCCGCTCCGACGGCTGCCGCGCGTAGCGCGCCTCAGAATCATCATGGCTACTAATTTTCTCGTCAACCTCGCCAGAGCACCTCTTCAGCTGAGGACATAACCTTACAGAGCTAAGGTAGAATTCATGACAATGGGGAGGCTTCTCGCTGACCTTTTCACCATTGGTACACGCTTGCCTCGCTTGCCACTTGCCCAGACGTCCCTACCTAATAGGTTTCGACAGGCTGTCTAAGGATCGACAGCAGGTGTGTTCATTGAATCTCCCCTCCAATGATAGGCTGGTGCTTATAGGATATCCCTTTCGAAATGCTTAACTTTGTGCTATACGATGTTCTCCTCTCTCTCTGGGCATCGAAGGGCAATCAAGGATAAATCCTGCTTGGTCTGGACAGCCATCAACTGCGCTATTGCCATATGGCCTCCGAGAACCTTGAATACATTCATTGTCGTCTTCTTTGACAGTGCTCTCCGGGTACTTGATCCCAGCTACTCCACATGGACAATGCCATCAGTAGCTGACTCATTTTCCGCCCACGCTTTGTCATTCTTCAATACCTCGGAAATCAGTGCGTTTGTCAGGAGCAGCTTACCAATACGCGATGCGACCGTGTTTCTGGTGTCGCTGGAAGAGTCCCTTGGGTCTAACACACTCTATAAATGCTTGGACTCGACTCGTTCCACTCCTTCAAACAGCATCCCCTCGTTAGACATGGCACCTATCGGCACCTTCTACGGTGCACCCACCCAACGTCAGTCCGTGATTGTCCGCTCCGTCGCAGCGATAACGGGTCAGGAGCTCATCATACCCGAATTCAAAATGGGCGTGACGAACAAGGCACCCGAGTTCCTCGCGCGCTTCCCGGCTGGCAAGATCCCCGCGTTCGAGGATTCTGACGGCTTTCTGCTCACGGAGGGCGCCACCATCGCCCATTACCGTGAGTTCGACGCGATTTCGTCAGGTCAAACTTGTGCTGACGACATCCACAGTTGCCTCGCTGAAGCCCGAGAGTGGGCTCATAGGCCGAGACGTGAAGGAAGAAGCGGCTATCGGCCAGTGGGTACACTTCGCCGAAACGGACATTCAGCCAAACATTGAGACGATTTACTACTTCATCGTTGGGTATGCCAGCGGGTACTCACCCGAGGTGAGTCGTTTTCGTTCGTACGTTCTATACACACTTCACTCAGCTGACTATGTTCTCGCTCAGTTTTCGCAATGGTTGTATAACCGCGCCATAATTGCGCTAAACCAGGTCGAGAAATATCTTAGCGATGGAGGGCGCGAGTACCTTGTCGGCGGGCGCCTCACGGTCGCAGATTTGACGGTGGCCGCCGTCGTCCAGTTTGCTTTGCGAGTGATTCTTGGGAAAGCGGAGCGGGAGGCGCTTCCGCGCACGATAGCACATCTCGAGCGTATCGTTGGCGATGCCCGTCTCAAGGGCGAGTTTCCGCCTCAGGAGTACCTGGAAGTGAGGCTCGACGGGAGCCCGCTGAAGAAGGACTAGGCTCTCATATGTACGGATCTATGATACGGGTACTTGCTTTCTTGTTCGAATGTTTGGTATCTCGTTAGACTGAAGGTTAATCGAAGAAAACTTTGGAGTCGCGTGCCTCACGTTCACAACCCGGTGTCTCTCGGATTTCGTCAGCCATCGTGCTTTACAAGTAGTGTTAGCAAGAGTGCTCATGTCGAGCAAGCAGTCGCCATCTAATTGCTCGGTGCTAAGTGCTTGCTGTCAGTTTCACTTGAGCACCACTAGACATCCTTGGACAACCCCGGAAACCAGTAGCCTTCCATGTCCAGAACTTGATAGCTTTCGGAAGATACTAGTAGACGTTTCGGACATCTACATGATTTGGCATGATGAAGTTGACGTCGGTAGTACAGCTTGCGGCCCAGGTCTGTTCGGCCTTGTGCGGTCCGGTGTAGCCTCTGAATTCCTCCGATCGGACCCGAAAGTATTGTTTGACATAAAGTCTAGCCCATGGAAAGCGACACGACGCGACCAAGGACGCGACATGACTCGACGCGCTGCATTAACCACGTCGACGCTCCTTGCCGGTTTACGTTTCAAGCGCATCGCTGTAGCATGAGGTAAGGCGCCAGAAGCTGTTTCTTCAAGGAAGCATCTTCCTCACTTTCATGCCAGCCAAGAGAAAGGCAGCCAGCTGAGAAGGTCCGACTGCAGCCTATCCGAAACTGCGTCAAGGTGATCGCAGCTCAACAAGCAGCAAATAAGGCGACCAAGAAGACATCTATCGCGAGCTCGGTGGCGTGGGTACAACTTACCATATCCCTCCTCTGAGCGGAATTGCTCTAGCTCAGCAGACGTTCGGTCCTCTCTATTCTCTCGTTCCCGCACCTGAGGATGCATGGAACAACTACGTCGCGAATCGCTACTGTCGTAGCTGTTTAGTTAGTCGGCGAAATGCTGCGTGGGCACGCGCGCCGAACGTCGACCACTTGCTGGTGCTGGTAGTGGTGTCCTGTGTTATGGGGGTCAACTACGAGGGTATCCGTGAAGGCCACAATGAAATGGGCGCACGGCGAATGGAGACCGCCGAACGCGAATTTGGGAAGAATTTGGGAGGCTCACAGTAGGGATCTGACTTTCATACGCCAGAACTCCTTTGTTGGCCTCCCATTCATAAATGAACCTCACCAGTGCGCCAGCTTCAGTTCTGACAAGTCTGCCATATCGGCGCCGGAGAAAACTTCATCTCCAGAAACGGGGGATGCTTTTCTTGCGAAATGATAAGATGCACCATCAGGGGTATGCAATGACTTCATCAATCTGAAAGAGACCCTATCGTAGATAATAGGAGACTCGAGCGCTTAACTGCTCCAGTGAGCAAGCGATGTCAGATACAGCCGTGGGAATCCCGTTCATTTCGGGTAAGCCTACCTCTAGCAAGCGCCCAGGCACTAGGAGGGGGTCATGTACAAGGAATAGAAGTTAGGTTCGCTTCATTTTGCAGGTGCCATCTTCTTGTCTTCGAACTTCACATGTATGAAACTTACAACCACAGTGGCGCCCGACCATCGGCGCACCCCAGAATATCACGTTCGCCCCACGACCCTGGCGAGAAGCGAGTCATATCAGCTGTATCGTCAATCGCCACAGAGATCAATCACCCATTATCACCCCCAGCGGTAGAGTTCACTGACAAAGTTCAGCCACGGATGATCGCTCAAAAGACGGGGCCAAAACGCCGTCGTTCACAGCGTCGCCGGCCGAGGCCGTTAGAAGCTAGACATACGAGATCGAAGGTTAGGAAGTAAGCTCGAAGTAGACTCGGTGTAGCTCAGTTTCCTAGCAAGGCACGAGCTCTCCCGCGAGCGTCCGCCAGATGCATGCACTTATGAAGATTTTTTGTAGCGACCGCGGTAACGTCCCTGTGTCGAAGTCACCGTCAAGAACAGAGCGTTAAGCCTGGTTACAGCGCCATTCAAGTTCGTCTTCTGATAGGAACTGTATTCATTCGTATGTGTCGCGCGCTGAGGCTGAGTGAGAGAAAAACGTGTGACATTTATCGTGAGATCCATCTAATCAGAACGTGAACATGCAGTATGAACAAGCAACAGCAAGAAGCAAAGCAAGCAAGAGAGAAAGAAAGAAAAAAGGTTCGGTTCATGAAATCGTTAATGTCTATCATCAGGCGTCGCTCGCTAACCGCTTCGACACCAGAATTCGATTCGCCAGGCTCGTCAAATTCGCATCGGCCATAACGACCTCCGGCGCGTACTCGATGTCAAACGCCTGGCGGATTGCGCTCGAGATACGCTTCGCCTGGCGCTCGTTCCAGAAGTTGAAGTCGTCGGGGCCGCGCACGGCGTCCGCCTCACCGACAGGCGAAGGCTCGCCGCCGCACGAGAGCGGGATGAGCGAAGGGTCCGAGTCTAGGCAGAGGGGGACGATCTCGGTGAGCGAGTTTCTCACGGAGTCGAAGTCTAGATTGTCAGGCTTGTTTACTGGAACGTAGCCATGTTAGATAGCGTCAATATTGCGGAGGGAAAATAGTTGACGAACCGTAAACTTCAAATGGTCCATCGAGCCCAAGGACGTTGTACTTCCCATCGTGGTGGTACCGGATCTGTGAAAGTTGAGCATCTCATATCGAACAAAGAACGTAATGTATCGCGGTACCTCATAACGTCCGACGTTCCATGGAAGCGTCGACGAGCGGAACGTTACAGTGCCCGCCTGCGATTCCACACCTTGCGTGCTTAACCCCCTCGCACTAGCACCCACGAAAATATCGCCATCCCATTCTTCGTCATGCACGGGCACCCACATGCCCAAAGAAGACGTCTTGGTCACCAATATCGACTTGTTCGCACCGACCTAAAGACCCAATGATATCGGTCAACGCCTACCAAAAGGAAGTGGCAACCTCAATGCGACTTACCCGGTATATACCAACCCAGTCGCGGCGTGAGTGCTGCTGAGGCACTTCCCATGTAACGGTGATAGGCTCGCCAAGGTGAAAACGCTTATCGCCACTCTTGCTTGGGGCAATACCGATTTTGTACTTCGCCGTATCGCATGAAGAAAGGTCGTTCGCAACACGGCTTTAATGTCCGGCGGGAACGAGGGACAACGATGTTCAGAACTAGGGCAAAACAGCACAGACTAGATTACAAGACACTCACGTTATGACGAGGCGCTCACGAGACTGCTGGAGCAAAACCTTTGTCTCCTGCATCACCTCGGAAATTCTGGGTTTGGCTGCGGACGATATCTCAGCAACGAGCGCCAAGCCAAACCAGGGTGCGAAGATTGAGATCGGGAAGAGAGACGCTCACACTTTGCCAAGAACTCCTCCACGACATCGGCGGTCTCCTCGTACACCTTATCAAACGTGCCTTGGACCTGTCGCGCAACTCTTCGAATCTCGGGGCCGTGGCGTCCCGCGCGGGACTCGAGCAGCCTCGCGTTCTTGCTCGCGACGTTCTTGATGACCTTGACGAAGCCAGCCTCATTGCGTAGCGAGTCTCCGTACAATTTCCGCATGTGCGGGCTGTGTCAAGCGCGGAGATGCGTACGTTAAGCGCGACTGCTTCGATAGAACGAAGAAGAAGAAGAAACAAGATACCGATACGTACTTTTCAACGACGGTGAGGAACCACCAATTGGAAAGGAAGCGGATGACCGCGAGGGCGCCAACGAGCTTGCTGCCGCTCATGAGAGCAAGCCCCAAAAAGGACGCGCCGCTCATGAGCTCCGGGTTATTGAGGTACCTGTGCACACGTCGAAGGTCACTCCCGCATCCAGAAGAAAGAGCATTTGCGGAGATGACATACCGGAAGATGCCCGTGTACTCCAGATGCGCGGGGAAGTCTTCCATGAAGAAGTCGCCGTAGAACCATCCTGTGAAGGAGACTTGAGCATCTCAGCATGCCCGATGGAGTCGATAGATTTACCAAAGACACCGAGGACCTCGTAGGACTCGATAGCGGCCCAAACGTGAAGCCCGATCAGAAGCTAAAAAGTACTTTAGTATTTAGTACGGCGGCAAGATCACTGTGGATGGAAGGTTCACGAACGGCACCAAGGGTGTGGCACAGAAGCTCATCTCCGACGGTCCAGCTCATAGGCCACGAATACGTCTTCCACGCAAGACCAATCAGTGACGCTGGATTACAGATCAGCATGGGCCCATTGAGCTATCCCGGCGAAGGCGCTCACTGTATGTCATGCACAAACTCAGGTTGTATAGGCCCTTCCAGTTGGTAAACGCCTCCTGAACCGCACCTTGCCCACGGTCACCAGATGGGTAGTGGTAGTGCTTCATGAAATGGCGTATGAAAAACTTGGAATTGGACTGCGCACGTAGTAGAGCGCCGAGCCCGAAGCTGTGGAAGAGACACCAACAGCAGGCGTGTACGAAATGAAGCAGCGTGACAGTCTCGTATGAGAGCGCCGGAACAAAAGCGACCGTCAGAACGTAAAGGACCACAAGCACGAGCATCGCATCAGAAGACCTGGAGAGGTTACGCGAAAATCATTAGCACATGATCGAGACAGGGGCTATGCGCACGCACCGTAACAAGTCGATGTTCTGAAGAATCACAGTATCGCGTCTGAAGTACTTCGTGAGTAGATCGTGCTGGGTAACCGCATGTTCGACTGAGACAGATGAGATGGGAGACAACCGCCCAGTGAGTTGGGGACTCAGTCGCTTGGTGGCCTTCAGCTTCGGTGTTCCCTCTCCCTCTCCCTCGGTTTCCGTCTCTGCCTCCGTCTCAAGGTCCGATTCAGTCGCGGTTTCTCCCTCCGTGGCAGGGGGAGTCGACAGCTGATCAATGGCCTCGTCCTCGGACAAAGTGGCGAGCGGCGGCGTGGCAGCTTGAGGGGAGCGCGATTTGCGAGCAGTCACGGCCCTGCGGACAGCAATGGGCTTGCGCTGACCATACATGCGCTCGATGTCTGCATGTTGCGTATGAGCATCACGATCTACCCTCCATGGCGAAGAGGACTTACGAGGATTCTCAAACAAAATCAAGAAAGCAAACTGGGCAGCATGAGCCGCAAGGCTGACAAAGAGGACCGAATAGCTGCCGACGATCAAGGACAGACCATAGTAGCCGGCATAGCCTAGCGAGTACATGTTAGCTCCGCTCAGATGCTTAGAATGAACATTCTTACCAACAGAATACATGGGATGAGGGGCAAGGTTAAATACTCCATCAAAGACCAGACCGCCTCGCTGGAAGAAGACGTCGCCCCAGTACCATCCGTAGTCCTTGACAACATTATGGGCCTCCGTCTTAACCCAGAGGTTGAAGGCGATGAGGAGAATGCCACCAAGCCACCTGGGAGATATGATTAATGGGGTAACGTATGGGTATATGCGTGGAAACCATACCTCAGGATATGGACAGCAATGGACAGATCTTCGGGAATGCGGAAGCATGCGAATGCAAACATGCAATACGCGAGAAAGTCACTGCATGGGATCATGAGCTCGCTGAAGTCAATGGATATAAGGATGAGATTGGTACGAACTTGAGCAGGATGACATCTACCAGCTGGCGGAATAACAGCCAGGTGTTATATTCCATCGGGAGTTCCTAGATGCGTGGTCAATACCAAAGATGACTATGGCGTAACGGATAAACTCACATCAAACGAATAATCCTGACCCATCTTGCCAACCAGCTGTGCCCGGATCCACTGCCTGGCTTCGGGTCTCCGCTTCTCGTCGAGCCAACCGCGTCTCTGCACCTCCTTGACCATCCACTTCTTCTTGCTCTGCCTGGTAAGCACCCATCCGAGACCGGCATCGTACGCCGCACGCCAGAAGACGAAGTAGAGGAAGAAGAAAACTTGAGCAGCGAAGCGCGACAGCGAGAAGAACAGGACGAGCTGAAGGCCGAGCAGGCTGAGATTGAGCAGGTCAAAGTGGCTCTTGGGATACGCGGGGTGAAAAAGAGTCAAGACGTCGTGCGTGGACGGAACGTGAAAGACTGGCCAAGACAAAAGTCGCGTCAAGGTCAGCAGGACGCGTCGAACGCGAAATGTCACGCACCTTCTCCACCGGGGGTCTTACCCCAAACGACATCGTCGCGTGCCACTGGGCTCCGCGGACTCTCCTGCTCGGAGTCGCTCGCGGTCGGACTAGTGGACGCGTTCTGAGGCGCGCTCGGCAGCTTGCGATTGCGCAAGCCCTTTGGACTGACAGACATTCTCCCTAGATGCAACAGGGATGGACTGGACACGTCGTGCGCGATACAGGCAGCAGCGACTGACGAAAGGGCTGGCCTCTGCTTATAAGGCAAATTCTTGAGTCCCCTTGGCACATTTACCTCACCCCCCTTTCGTATGCCGTAACCCAAAAAAACACATGGTTCCTCCCCACCTCTTCTGATTGGCTGACGCCACGTCGTGCACCCCTCGTTCGTCGGTTGACCTACGCGATTTAATCTCCGCCAGAACTTTCAGGCCATCCTTCCGAGGCATTCGATGTCGTTCGGGAACCTTTTCCTTCTCTTTATCTGAGGACATGTCACTTGAAGCAGCGGAGGCAGCAGGACGGCCAGCGTCTTTTTATATGAACTCAATTGTCTCGTAAGCCCGTTGATCCATTCCCAGCGCCTTTTTTATGCTTCTCGAGTCTATTTATACACCACATTTCATCCCTGTTTATACACTTAGCGCTTGGCCCTTTCCACTGAGCGCCGAGTTTCTAATGCCAGGGGAAATCGAACGTAGATCTAGAGGCATTTTTTTCGACTAGCATTTATATTTCGTAGATGTTACGTTCTACGAGGTGCTTCACATCTCTTCATCAATGATACCTGTTTCATTCAAGTCGCCTATTGCGAGTGCTGGTGCAATTTTGGTGTGATCGGTGTTTAGATCGATCAACTTCTTTCGTGAGTTGCCCGTCAGCTAACCTTGGACAAAACTCATGGTCATACGACACCAAGAAGAGCGAATCAGCGTTTGAGGGTCCTCTCAGCCGTAGGCGCAGTAGTGCTAGATGTGCCATTGACAAGTACGAGATAAGTGATACACGGGCCTAGAATTACACTGCATGAGGTTCGGTGTATGGTACATTGGACGCATCGTGAGTGATCCATGCTCCAAGAGGGAGGGGCGATCAAAGATGATCAAGAAGTGAGGCAAGTCACCTGCAAGCCGCTACCATAGCGTGTCATGCGTCAGACGGGCGCACTAGCTCAGTTAGAGATGTGCTCCTGGAAACCCTTCTCGCTGTCGACGTCACCCGGGATGTCATCAAGCTGATCATCCCATCCGTTGTGATCAGCAGTCATCCACAGTGTCAAAAATGCCCAATCGTACCTGATCGAAATCCTTCAGGCACTCGCCAATGATGCTGATGCCCTTAGCCAGCTCCTCCTCCGAGATGACCAGCGGAGGTGCAAATCGGATCCTATAATACAAGCCAATAAGAGCTCGTCCATAACAGAACACCACCTACTTATAAAAAAAACAGGACGTACGTGTTGACATGCGTCGGCTTCGCAAGGACACCCCGGCTCTTGAGCAGAAGACAGAACTGCCATGCGGTACGGCCCTTGCCGCTCTGCGACTCGTCAATGACGACCGCGTTGAACAGACCGCGCCCGCGCACGGTCTTGACGAACGGCGAGTTGAACGCCTCAATGCCCGACCGGAACTTCTCGCCCAGCACACGCGCACGCTCCGCCAGGTTCTCGTCCACGAGCACACGGAGGGCCGCCATGGCCACCGCGCAGCCGAGTGGGTTGCCGCCGTACGTGCTGCCGTGTTCGCCGGGCTTGATGCAGTGCATGATCTCTTTGTCGGCGAGGACGGCGGAGACAGGGTAGACTGCAAGACCAGGCGAGTGGGTCAATCACGGCTCTCAAGCATGAACCCGGTGAGACTGACCTCCTCCTGAGAGCGCCTTGCCGAGCAAGACGACATCCGGACGGATGTTCTCGTGCTCGAACGCCATCATCTTGCCAGTTCGGCAGAGACCCTATGTTACATCACCTCCCACCATCAGCCGCGGCTCACCACGGTAACAGATCAAAGAGAAAGAGAACTCACAGTCTGAATCTCGTCACAGATGAGGAGAACATTATGCTTCGTGCACAGTTCCCTGACCTTGGCGAGGTACCCGGCGGGCGGGACCACGATGCCGGCCTCGCCCTGGATGGGCTCGACAAGGAAACCAGCGACATGCTTCCCGTGCAGCTCGAGCGCACGCTCCAGGTCCGCAGCCTCGCCAAAGCGGATCGTGCGCAAGTTCCCGTTGTCTTGGAACGTCGGCCCCACGTTCTCGAGGTAGGGTCCGAAGCCAGTCCGGCTCTCTGGGTCGGTACTCATGCTGATGGAGGAGGAGGACAAACATAGATCGATTAGCATTGTACTCATCTCAAAAGCCCAAAATATCCACGCGAGACCAGGAACAGACGAGCGCACCCGGCGGATGGGCAAAATGAAGAAGTAGAACGAAGATGTACACACCTGATAACACCAAGCGTGCGGCCGTGGAAGTTGCCCTCGACACTGAGCACGATCGCCTTGCCCTCGGGAACACCCTTCTTGACGTACCCCCACTTGCGTGCGAGCTTGACGGCGGTCTCGACCGCTTCCGCGCCTGTGTTCATCGGCAGGACACTCTCATAACCGAACATCTCCGTAATCATCTGTGCATACTGTCCGAAAACAGAGTTGTAGAAGGCACGCGACGAGAGCGTGAGCTTCTGCGCCTGCTCGACGAGCGCGCCAACTATCTTGGGGTGGCAGTGGCCCTATCAGACGCAATGGATGGACAGCGAATGGTACCGGAGAAAAATTTCGCCGAGGAAAGATTGTCATCAGCGCCCGATCTGTTGCGGGGAACGTCAAACGGGCGGGGAAGCTCACCTGGTTCACAGCGCTGTTGCGTGGAGACACGAAGGAAATGGGCAGTCAGCCAGGGAACAGCGCCTCAATGAAGAGAGCGAGGCAAAGTTAGACTTATACGCACGAGTACGCCGACAGCATATCAATGTATTCTCTCCCTTCCGGATCCCATACCCTTGCAGACGAGTTCAGATTAGCACACCGATCAAGCCAGCCAATCAGCAGAAACCACTCACTTGGCCCCCTTTCCGACGTCAAATACGACAGGCAGCGGGTGGTAGCTATACAAAGAAACATCGTCAGCGCGGGGAGCGAATGAGGAGCAAGAGCAAGAGCCAACGGCAGAATCCACGGACGCTGTCGATAATATCGACTCGGTCGAGCCCCAGGCCCATGATCGGCGCTACAGTATCATCACAGCCAGCTCGGTATGCGGACCGATGGCGGACGCAGATGCACGCGACCCCGACCCCGGGCTGAATTGGCTCAATCGCTCATACACATGCGCAGATAAAATGCGGGAAAGAGCGGCACAAAACTCACTTGTGTGCGCCGTACTCGTGCTCCTTGTGCACAACGTCGGCAGAGGTGAGGCGTGGCTCAGCGTCGTTTTTCGTCGATCCCGCGCCGTTGCCGGTGATCTGGTTGAGGACAGCAGGTGCCATGATTGTGGAAACTAGGTTGGTGTGGTAAAAGTAGGTTCTTGGGGATGTAAGTCTCAGAGGTTAGCGAGAGTCGAAGCTGAGGTGGTCGTCAGTGAGAAAAACCCGATCCACTCCTTGCTCCGCCCGTAAATCGTTTGCGGAGTCGCTCCTGTCCATTTGGGGAGGCCTGCAGGCCAGCACTCTCCGCGACACATCCGTGATCCGCCTCGTGCTAATCAATCGCGTCATGGATTGCCATAGTACTCTAGCCTGCAGTCTAACGTAAAGTAAATATCGAAATGGTGGTGTTACAATTACTGGTGATCGTGAGTGAAACACAAAAGATAAGCGATAAATCGATAGCTAAGATGAAAAACGATATCCATGTGTCCGAGATGTCCTGCAGAACCTACTTATGCCCACAAATCAAAGAGAAGTTACTGCAGATCTACTGGCCATTCTTTCCTGCGCCGCTGTCGCCCTTGCGAGTCGTATCTGGGATTCGGGGGGTAATCCATGCCGTCATGTATCCTGCGACCTATCGGCACTGTAGATTGACATGGTCACTCATAAAACCCACGGATGAGCACAAGCGAAGGGAGACTCACGAAACCACGTCCACACGTTCTTTCCCATCACCGACTCCCAGTTCTCCTTCTCGCTTCCCAGATACCACAAGTTTCCCTCCGTGCCTGTCTTGCCCCATTCCTGGTCCCATTCCTTCACGGTCCTCCGCTTAGCCCTACGCAGCGGTACCGCCGGAGCGAGTTAGCCAAAACGAAACGCCAAAAACAGCACAGCACCAAGACGACGACGCGAACGGGGAACGGCGATACGGTAAGTAGGTTATCGGCATACACACGAGGCCCGAGACGAAATTGACAAAATCGGAGTATAAGCGCTCACCTTATCTGGTACCACGCATACATATGCGAAAGCGTTGCCTGTTCGCGCTCTCTCATCGCCCTGAAGTTGAGAGACTCGACAGTTGTCTGATTTAGCATGAGGCTGCGGATCTGTGTGAGAGTCATCATGAAACTGAAGATTCCGAACAGTCCGGTCCTGTCATTCCATGCCAAGTGTCAGATGAATGATTGCCTGAAACACACTGATGGTCTCACAGAACGATGACGGCAATGTGCTGGGGGTTAAGCTCTGAGGGTGGGGACTGGTGTTGTCCGCGAACGACGAGGCCGAGAAGGGAGCCAAAGGTCCAGATAGTAAAGATAGCACCCCAAAGCACAAAGTCGAAGAAAAACTGCCGCCAAAACGTGTTAGTGGGAATACAGCGGGCTTCGCGGGCAACCTCACCTTCTGGTTGAAAGCGCCAACACATTGCCCGATCCCTTGAATTCCGAAATGAGACACGGAACCCTCAAATTTGCGCAGTACTCACATGGGCAATGGTGATCGTACTTGAGGATACACTGTGAACGTCGAGCAAAAATTCAGCGTCTATACACACGAGCTTGGCAGCGGTAAAACAAACTCACAGTTCCACACGCGCGGCAATGGTGGCACCGATACGGTTTCATGATCTTGTCTCTCGAGCAGTATCGATACTCTGGGTTCAGAATTGGCGTAGTCGGAGGCCGGCGGGAGAATATCGGAGGCGGCAGGTCTCCTTCGGAGACGTTTGGGGGATTCACGGGGGCATTGGTACTGGTCGAAGCAACGTTATGTGTTTGAGATGATTCACGTGGCGGTCCCGAGTCCTGGCTAATAGCTTGCGAAGAGCGCTGGTCTTGCTTGGCTACCATAGACCCTGCGGACACCAACGTGTGCGAATCAGCATTCCCAGACCGTCTCGACAGGCGTGGAGATTGATCTGGGGGAGGCTGGCCGGTGCCAATGTGCGTTTGTTGCTCGGGGTCATGTGTTGGCGGTCGGGAAAGGTCGACGGTGGGAGAAGTGAGCTCATAGGAGGTTCCGCGGATGTCATCTGAGATTGAGGATGAGCGGAGTGGCGGCGGAGGTTGGGTTCCCGGACGTTGTGTGACGGGCACAAACTGTCAAAGGATGGTTCATATACGCTGGTGAGCTGAAGTAGGAAACTACGCGTACGTCTCTAGCGTGTCCTGGGGAAGTGCAACAGACCTAAACGGAAATTTAGCATTGTGCCACTCCACCAGATGACCCCCTGATTCTCCAGTGAACGCACCGTGATGTAACACCACAGCATCATGAAGGTTACAGCGCAGAAGATGGACAAGAATACGACTGCGCGGGGGTAAGATCCTCAGCAAACAGGGGTCGGGTAAACAGTAAGAGCATAGGGTGGCGACTTACTTCCCATCGTTCGGGAACCAAGTGCGTTCGGTCGTTGGAAGATCATGTTCAGACATAATTGATCGATATAGACATAACATGCGTAAGCAATCAGCCCAATCATGATACCGACGGTCAACTTGAGGACAATCCATGGCTGCGGCTTGTTGGCGCGTCGGTTATGTTTTTCTCTCGCCTCAATCCGGGCCTCCTCAACAACTCCGCAGCACGTCTTCTCCTGCTTCGTCATTGGACCAAAAGGGCATGAAGACGAGTCCTTGAGACTTGAAATCGACGAAACGACGGGCGAGTGATGTGGGGGTGAGGGGCGGGGTGCAGCTGTGTCCCTGGTGAGGCGGCTCAGGCAACGCGCTGCAGTGGACGGCAGGCATACGCGCTCCCATGGCAGCCTCGATGATGTAATACGGGTGTGCGACGCGATTGGTTCACGCAAATTATCTCACGGTCTCCCTCCGGCCAACCATCTTGTGTCCCTCCACTCCAGTCTCCAACTTCTCTCCAACACTGGTATGTTATGCCTCGACCAATCAGCACATCGACCCATTATGTCGCTCTAGCCTTGAAGCCAGCCAATCACGACGAGCTTCTGATCAGGAAAGCGCTCCAAGATGCGCTCACACCGATGTTCGGACTGACATTTGCAAACATGCATCTCGACATTCTGACCATTTCCGAGGATGGAGAAGGGATGATCATCAGAACAGGCAGTCGGTGAGTCTCCGTGGCCATCTTCCCCGTACTCCATGGTCGCTATTGTAGGCATGATTTAACCTCTTGGTAGATCCGACGCTCAAAAGTTAATTGCGGCCATCGTTGCTTCACAAGGACCCCTCCGTTTCTCCTTAAAGAAAGATTCTCCTTTCCTCCCATCGCTTGTAGCGTCTCAAGGAATTATATGACTTCTAAAGCATAAAGCTCTAACCGCGGATCTTCCATACTCTCAGACGTCGTCATCGATCTACCGTCTTGTTCCCTGGCGGGGCCGCATCGCCCCAAAGCCCCACCACTGCTGAGGTTACGGACGCAATGGAACTAGGGATACACTTCAATTTATGTACGTTATGTATAGGTGGTATGGAAACTGTATCTATGATTGCAAGCGAATCTTAGCCCAGTCCACGAAGTCGTCAATCGTCGACGGCCATGCAGCTGGGAAACAAATCGTAAGTCCAGGCGTCCTCGGACAACAACGAGACGCACCTTCGGGATCATACTTCTCGAATTTTGCGTCAGCCGTCCGCACGAAGTCCAAGAACTGTATGTGTTGTTGAGACAAAGACTTTTTTCCAACATACATTCAAAGTTGCATCACCTACCATTGACCATGTGTCCTTGCTCACACCCTTGCCACCCTTTTCGTTCAAGAATTCGAACCACCAGTCCGTGTACTCAGATTTCCATCCTTCTTCTGACGTATCCATTTCGACATCTTCGTCGTCATCGTCATCATCGTCATCGTCGCGGGGAGCGGCTACGTGGGACAAGGCACCTTGCTCAAGCCCGTACGGAAGTAGTAGACTCCAATATGCCTGAGCCGTCTCAAGGCCTGGGAAGGTATTAACAGTGTCAGAATATGCAACCGGGGAGAAATAGCCGGACGAAGCACCTAAGCTGCGTGCTCCCTCTGATCGCGCAAAGTCAAAAGTGTGACCGTAAACCTTCTGGAAGTACTTGTACTCGCTCCCCAGCTGGTTACGCAACCGTGTCAGTGCTATCTTCATATCCACTACGTTGTCACATCTAGAGAATGACAATGATTAGCACCTGTGCACCACACGAACCTCGCCCGTCGGATTCAAAGGAGATAAGCGCACCCGATCCTCTTCCAACCCTCAACCCAGCCTTTCTTGTTCCACTCACCCATCCTGGGTGACTTGAGCTCGTATGCGATGGCCAGTAGCACAACGTCCTCAGGGTCGACCTCAAGGTCCTCGCACATTTGAATCGTCCCATTGATCGTGATATCCGATCCCTCCGGATCTGTATGCACGCGTCAACCATGAGCTCTCTGTCACATACTGTCGATAAGCGAGGACGAACCTTTGTACTTGTCAAAGAGCGTGTTGAGCTTGCTTGTCGATGGAGCCGGGGTGTCAGGCTGGCGCCGCACAGAGGCCATCGCGTTGGGATCGTCGAAGAAGGCGTCAACAGCGAGATCTAGCCGCTTGTACTTGTCAAGGAACTTCTTCGCATCCTTGGTCCTGTGGGTGTGTCCCCACCGAGGGAGAACGATTAGCAGGGGTGGTGACGCAAGCGCCAGTTTTAAAGGGGCACCGGGAGATAAGGGCCGTGTCTGTGAAGAGCAACTTACGACGCGCCTGTCAGACCAACGAATTGCGTGAGGGCCTCGTCCGATCTCCCCTTGGATGACTTGGACTGGCAAGGCGGTTAGTGCGTCTCTGAAAGAGACGCCAGGATGACAAGCGACAGGCGATCAGGGACTGACCATAGCTTGTCTCGTAGCGTTGATGTTAGATTGAGGAGAGGAAAAAGAGAGGTTCACTCTTCCCTCGGGAACAATCGATAACTCTGCACTGCTTGCTGTGCACGAACGTAAACGTGACGGCGAGTCTATGTTTTCTCGTCTGGACCTCACGCCGGCCCTTGGGGACCGATACGGGTATTGCCGCGCCGCGGACCTCAAAGTCCTTCCCCCCATTGCCTTATTGATTCTAATTACCACCCAGCACCCACAACCACACACTGGGGCCTACTGGGTATCAGATCCTCGTACCAATACCCTGAGCCTCGATATATCGCTTCATCAACCACAAAGGAAGGACTTCTATCAGAAATACTGATCGATGAGTGTCAATGCTTCCCGGATCCTCCTCGTCGGGTCTGCTGTGCATCCAATCGCCAAAGCCTCACTGGGTACCATCGTTGCTCTTTGTTCGTCGCTGAGAACAGCAAGCCCGCCGCCGTACAGGTGCTCCTTTGCTCCGGATGCTTGCTCTAGCTTTATGTAGGCATTTGGCCTTTGCCGAGAGGCGGCCGATCAACCAAGCCATTAGTGGCGTTCAGTGACGCGATGGCAAAATCCACCTCGCAAGACCATGACCAGTCCGCATTTCTCGCAATGAGACTCTGCGGATCTTCACAGTCGTACACCCACTACTACGGACCCAATAAGGGAGCTTGTGTCTTCACTTATGAAAAGCCTGCAGGCTCGATAGGTCACATGGACCTTGCGATGCAGCACTCGACCATGCTGCTCGTGAACTCTGAATGAAAAAGTCAGTGAGCAATCCGAACCTACTCCGAGAAACCCTTCTCAACTTGCTCCACGGAAAGAATCATTGGCATTGGCTGATCATGACGGCGTTCGCCTTACCCCACAGTCATAAGATGGATATACCTTATCTTTGATTGCGAGCCTCAATTCCGTCAGCCGTAACCCTTACTCCACGTGCGCTTAGGTACCTGGCGGCGCTTGAGCAGCGCAACACGCAAATGGTCAAGCCATTGTTGTGGCAGCATGTGAGGTAAATGAGCCTCCACAGCACCATAACCTCCGGCTGATCATTGGGCAGTCCACCTTCCTGCAGCGCGCCGAAACACTGGTGCATCCATCCCGCCAGGTATCAGCATCATCCAACTACAACCCTCTTTTGAACCCGCAACGTTCAAATTAGGTGGACATTGTCAAGCTGCGGCGACCTCCGATCGGTTCCTGTGGGCCAATACATCATGAATGTTAACGCGCGTTAACGTTTCAGGCTCGAAAACCAGATCGATGGGTCCAAATATCTCCTATACGTATACGTACAATGAGACCAGTGCCTCAAGGCTTCGGAACTGTCACCGAGGTACATAACGTACCGCACATACCCGCTCCGTTCGTCGTCCTATGAGATCGGGCCGAGAATCGCACTTACTTTCAGATCAGATCTGTAAACGCTTTCAAGCCGGCGTCGTTCTACCGCTCTTCCGCCATCAATGAGCGCTCCGCGAAGGTGAATAAGCTGGGCCGACAACCCCCCAGAATCCGCAGCACACAATTAGCACACGGGCCGTCGCGGTTAGGAGATCACCTGTCAAGGTCTGCTGAAGCGAGCCATCTCGTGTTGTGGACTCACATGGTCATTCTTTGAACAAATTAAAACGAAGGCTTGTCCTAGCTCACGAGGGCTGATGATATCGGCGGACGGACGCAGGAGAGGACTTGACGTAAATGCGAGTATAATGCCCACGATAGTCCAACCTGACGACTATTATAGTAGTCGCTGTCAATTGATAAGTGATTGTAGGTGTCGCCTATGACGCTATAATACAATCCGCAAACATCCAAGCCGCAAGCTAGTAAAGCCTCAATGGTTTAAACAACGTTTGAAACTGAATAGACTCTTCTTTCTCCGAGCAAACTTTTGCTGAAGCTGGCAAGGTTGCGTGGTACAAAGTTGACCTTGTGGCGCCCGCCTTTTCATAGAACGGATGCCTTTCTAGAGCGGCCGACGATCACGAAGAACTTCGTTTCGGGAAAATAGAAGCCGAAGAGAACCGAAGAGAAGAGAGGGGGAAAAATAAATACAAACCCCAGTGCGCTATCTTTCAATGTCATCATGTCATCAAAGGGGGTATTTTCGTCACACACACGACAAAGTTGTCCAGCCTGCCATATGCACATACAATGATGCATCCATTTTCGTCATACATTTAGACATACAGAATAACACACTGGGGTCTCTCCTCGGCCGCATCATAGGAACCCGGTACAGAGCTGATGGTAATCCAAGTCCCTTTTCTTTTGTAGCCGGGCCTCCCCAGCCACCGTATCAAGCGCGTTTTCTTCGCTAAAAATATACACTGCGCTTCCGCCCGAATTTTTTGCCAAGACTGGGACCCACCGCGTGCGCACGTGTCCGCTACGGGGGTGAGCAACATTCAGGATCGGTTTCTAAGTTGTCCCCTCTTCTCAAGCCTAGGAACAAACCCAACTCTACTTGCCAAGACGGGCTTTTCTCAGAAGATGTCCCCGCATGGGCGCCGCGGAAGACGCTGGGTGGCTGACTGACAACGGAAGCGCACTCTCCAGGGCTAGGCAGGGCTAGGCAGCCTTGCTAGCTTTCACGGATTCAGGACAAGGCACAGACGGCGTAGACAGCATTCTTGATTGTGCGCTGATAATCGTTTACGTTCCCAAAGTACCCTCATTTCCTCTCTATTTAATTTCCCTCCTTCCCTTTTCCATATCCTTCGTCGTCTCCGGCGCCTTTTTGTCACATCGTGCGGGGAAACGGCATTTGATGGGCGCTGACATGAACAGTCAATACATAGGGGGTCAAGGAACCATGACTGATTGCGCACAAGTTCAAGACGGGCTGATGAAGGCGTAAATTGCACACGCCCATCTACATACGTCCATCCAACTTCCATCCCTGATAATCGTCCTGATCCGCGCGGCTCCGATTTGCCGACCAAGCGATTTGAAGCATCTTCGATCTGAAGATTGGGTGCGTGTCCTGGTGTGTCATATATCTCCACCTCAACTGACGGACGGAAGAGACGAAGGATGACGCAGACGTGACGTCGGCAGCGAGAAACACCTCCCGAAACCCCACAAAGATGACGAGGGCGAACGTCGGTCTCGGCACGACAACATGTCGGAAAAAGTCTGTCAGGTTGATGAGCGATGTCGCCGACGTTGCGGCTTGAGCTCGACAGATCAAGACTACGTTTGACAGATCGAGACTGCTTTTGACATATTGTGAGTGAGGATCCACATGCATGATCCAATGTGTCGCCTGCAGTAAGCGATTTTCCGCTAAACATGTGCATGTTCTGCTTGAATTGTTGACGTGCGATCGGTTAAGTACCGCCCCCGCCGCATCAAAGAACCTTCCCTGGCAGCCTGCAGCTATCAAAGCCGTGATATGCGCGCCTCGGGTGTGGCGGTGCACCCAAAGTGGACGACTGTGTAAGAACACAGTCCATGAGCGGAAAAAGACGGACCTCCGAGGAGGAAGTCCTGTCGCCTTGATTTTATCACACTGCACTTGTGTGATCGGTGGGATGCGCGCTTATCCAGGTGCAAGATAGGACACCGAAGCCAGCGGACAGGCGCGGTTCGTTGCCCGAAAGCGGACGTGATGCACAATGCACGCATCTGTCAGATCCTGTCTCTCGAACGTGCCCGCCGCCGGTTCCCGAGCACCGAATTCAGGCACCGACGGATGTAGTTACGACGCATCGGGAACGCGATCGGTCCATGCCGAATCTCGATCGTGATCAGCTCGCTTCTGGAAAATCGGGCGTCAGCGTCTGAAAACGTTTTCGTCCACTCAAACAAAACAGTGGGGCCGTAAGATGGGAGGAGCAATGTTAATGAACACCGCCGCCCTCCCTGCATGAAATCGAAACGGCTGTTCATTACGATACTAGTGCACACAACAAGCTGAGTAAAATTGAGAACAAGACAGGTGCCAAGTAGCCGAGACAGAAGGGTATAGTGGCGAGTGATATATATTATAAACGTACGCTTGATCCGAGCACGACATGATATGCCTCCTGGAGAAACATTCAACGATGGCGTCAGACACATGTATGAGGCACGCAGGTGTGCAGTGACAATCTGTCTCACCTGACATCAGTTGCGAACAATGACACGCTTAGTGTGTTTTCCCGCTCGCCTGCGGTCGGTGTATGGTGTGGGCCGTCGCCAAGCGTCATCCGAGCTCTCCCGGTAGTCATCCCCTGCCGTGTATTCCATTGGTGCGGCGCCTGAACTTTGGTGGACTTCGGTGGGCGCTGTACGTAAAGTGACGTTGGCATGGTAGGAACCGGGAGTATGGTGTGGAGGCGGTTGAGATGGATGAGCGGGAACGGGATGCATGGTTGGTGTCTGAGTAGGCATGGGAGGCATAGCGCGGGCTTGCCTAGACGACTTTGAGTGTGCATAGGGGTGAGATGCGGATGGTTGAGATGGCGAGTGGTGGGGGTGAGGTGGAAGCGCAGGCCACGTCCTGGGGCCGACGGAGTCCCGAGGCTTGCTAGATGAGGCGTGGGCCTCTTCCGAAGACTGCGGCGGCATGTCTATCTCGACACGGACGCGGACAATCTCTTTGCCAGCCTGGGCAAAAAAGGCGCGCTCTTGCCGTTGGAACCAATGGCTCGTCGCCCCAGGCTGAATGGCTCCGAAGTTCGCGGGCGCCTGAGGGGGGAACATGGCCATGAGGTCATGGCCGGTAGGTGGTGCAGGGTATTTTCTCGGAAGGTCGTTTGCATCCTGTTCGAGATTGACGTCTAGTGGGGGAGCAATGAGACACGTGTGATAGGAACAGAGAGCCAAGAAGAAAAAGACGAAGACGCACCTCTGAGGAAGCCGGGTGATATTGGTCGCCGTGGCTGACCGTGAAGGGCGCTGGATACGTGTGGCGATGCGCTGTGCTTGTGTGGTGGGCTACGGTCTGTGGAGGACGAGGAGGATGGGGAGGGGGGGTGGTCGACGACGGGACGGAGGCTGAAGGTGGACATGCTGTGATCACTGAGGGGAAAGGGGGTTGGGCTGCGAAGGGATGATAGGTGCGAGCAAGGGGAGGAATTTATATGAAATCTAATAAGCCGAAGACGATATGACCGTAATGGATCGCCTTGAAGGATCGAAGGAAAGGACCGTGTTCCGGATATGGATAGTTGTCTGGCGCAGGGAAGAGAAGCTGCGATTTTGATTCCGGTCCGCTGTCGCCAGCCAGATTGGAGAAGATCTCTTTATAAACGCCGGGCCACACCTGCCACGAGGTGCGCTAACCGAGCAATCTGCCCCTTCACTGGTCGACTGCTGATCGCTCTCCCCTCATCATGCCGCCGTTCCCGGCCGCTTCGTTTTCATATCCCAATGTCCACAACGCATCGATATCCCCGGACCAGATCCGCCATCTCCTTCGCGAATGCCATAATCTGCCCCTTCTTTTTCCGACCGGTAACTTTATCTCAATCTTGCCGTTCATCTCGACCTCCCCTTTGCCCCTCCCTCCGCCACACACACACTTCCTAATCCACGGACAATCACCTAATCGAGCAGGAATGGTAGCTCCTTCTCGTATTCTATCACACACGTCCGATCTATCGCAAATTCGGACCCAGTCCGCTGCGCGCGGCCGGTTTCGCCCCAAGTTCCCCACATTCACATCGGACGTCAGTCACTCAGTGGGAGCCGCTCCCAAGCAACTTCCAGTCCCAGTCACCAGAAAATCTTACTCTCTCTGAAAAGCGCTTCGAAGTTTCGGCACCTGACTTCTGCAAATGCCTACCTGAGATCTGTCGTTCCCTTGGTTTCCATTCCCTGTACCTGTCCCCAGTTATTGTCCCGAAGGTTTTCTGACGTCCCCAGGCTTGATTTGCATTAGCGGTTAGCACGGCCACCGGACTGCCTGTTTTCTTCCTGTGTAAACGCCAATGCACATATGGCGAGTAAACTGATAAACACCGCAGCGCGTATAACGCGCGCCCCGAAACTTCGATCGCTAGATCTATGCCAGATCTTGGCCAATGTACTCTGTCCTCGTACCCAACGCCTCGTGTGAAGCACGGGCGCGGACGTATGATGCTGGGAATGACACCCTTCCACGGCTCAATCATTTCCCCTTTGAACCGCGAGCTCTTGATTTTGGCCCGTGCCGTGCCTGCTATATTGAACGTTCGTCGCCTTTCGTCAGAGGATACAGTCCGAATTTGAGTGGCAATCAGGACCGGCCGCTGCGACGGGGCGGAAGAGTAGATTCAATTATTCAATGGCGATCATTCACGTTTTTTTGGAAGAGAAAGCGGCACCGGTCGGCTTAAGTCACTTGCACTAGTCCTTATCAGACGTACATAAGTGTGGCCAGCTCGCCAGCGATGTGTGAGTGAGCTCGCGTATTCGCGTGCGAGATGAGGCCTGAGGATTGGGATATGCATGATGCGACCCTTGGCCACTTCCTCCTCAAAGCTAACGATGTCGTCAGCCGACAGTCTGGATCTTCGATCCCTCAGGGCCTGTGAGGACACATGGCGCTCGGTGGCTCGGGGTACAGGGCCTCGCTCCTGGATCCTCGAGTCTGGGGTCGCCGTTTTAAAAAAAGACGGGGACTTTGTCCCAGGGCCAACTCTCTGGACGGACCGCGGGTCTCGTGTCAGATTCCTTGTCAAGGAACATTCTGTTGTGCCAAGGTGATAATATGGCCAGTTATCACATCGCTTTGGACCATGTTGCCCATGCCATAGAACTTCATTATGGCCGAACGGCATGTCCATAATAGATCGATGCTTCTGACAGGAAGTGGAAGCTGGAAACAAGAGAGTGGTCGACTGAGCAGCGCTTCCGCTGAATGGAAAGGTTACGTCAAGCAAGTCATGTGCCCTGCTGAGTCAGCAACATCCAGCAAACAGCGAGGCAGACAACCCGGTTCCGATCCCGAACAGCCATCGCTTTCTCCTGCCTAACCTTCGCCTTGACATCGCGCGCGCGACTAGACGAGTTCTCTGTGTCTCATTCCACATAGAAATGGCACAACGAACGCTCAGCAAAGGGACCCTCAATCTGCGGTTCATGCAGAACGCCCGCAGGGCACAACAGCTTCCGGCGGTTGAACTCGACAAGGCCGAGATCAAGGACGATGCTGAATGGGAGGTCTCGCAGGAAATGAAAAATAAATGGGGTACCAGCTCAAGCACGACGACAAAAATGTCAGTAACACAGTGTTTGCTACCCTTGTGGTTTCGCACCCCATCTATTTCCCCCCCGCAACTACTTACCTCACTCACACCCATTGCAGGCAAAACGTCACATATGAAACATCTTACCTCCCATTCCTGTTCCCCCACGCGAGCCATCAGGACGGCGAACTCGGAGCCGCACTGCAAACCACCGATAGTCGGATCAGCAAGCCTAAAGGTCGCCGCAGCTTTAACAGGAAAGGAGAGGAAGTAAACACACAGCAAGAGGTGAGCACGGCCTGTTCTGCCACGTTTCGGTATAGAATGGTTAACGCCGTGTAATGCCAAACGTCTCTTTCCTTTCTCAAGACGACCGAACCATCAAAGGAGGCCGTCAATCTCACGAAGCTTTCTGGAATATCTGGAAGCGGCTCTGTCATGCAGCAACCTAAGCCTGCTCGTCCCCAGTCCATCTCCGCTGCGAACGCACCAGCGAAAAAGCATAAGGACCCGACGAAAGAAGCTCGACGCGTTGTTTTCGATAATGGTAACGTAGGCTCGGACTTACGAGCGACTTCGCGCGCGAACGGGAACAGCGCTCCGGCCACGGCTGGCGGCTTCATGAAGCCAGCGGGCGTCGACGGCCCGTCACGGCCTCGCAACCAAGCAGGATTAGGCGAAGCCGAAGACAAAAAGCCTCCTAGCGGGTTTGTGAAGCCGGCGGGCGTCGACGGCCCGTCGCGCCCAGCAAAGGATACTGCGGTCGACGAGAAAAAACAGCTTAAAACAGCGCGAAAGAAGACCGCCAAGCGAAACGCTGACGAGGATGGAGGTAAAAGGTCGTCGAAGAAGGCAAAACTTGCACTCGTCGAGTAGTTGTTTTGTCTTCATTAACGTTCTTCGTCTGACTTCGTAGTAAGTCTCGCACGAACTGCCTCTTCTTCATCTGTCAGAAATTCGCTGACCGTTTCTGATTATCCAGGTTTGTTACCCCTTGTTCGTTTATATGTACCTTACTGCTGATTGCGCACATATCGCACACGACCATTTTATCTCACTCCCCCGGTGAGCATCTTTATTATTGGTTGACCCAATACCATGGCACTAATGCAACTCAATCGGTCCCGCGTCGAGCTTGCTCACGACCGAGGCCAGTTCCACGGCGTCCCTCCTAATGATTGCTCTCATGTTTGCTGCGTAGGATCGGTCGCCAAGCTCTCACAGCAGCATGAGATAGCTGTACGTTAGACTTCTGTGAACGCGAACGTGTCTCGACGGGAACTATCTTGCTTTCTTGTCTTCTGCGGGCCCCGGAGCTTACTCGGTCGGCTATTCCCAGTAACTACCTCGGACAGTGCCTTAGTATTTTTCCAAGTGTCTCCAGGCTTGATCGTAAACCTTGTTGCACGCGACAGCTTGCTGGGATCCGGATTAATTGATCTACTGCAATCATAGTGCGTCTGCATTAAGCTAAACTAAGATTAGAAAGTCTGCAAGTTTGGTGCTATGAGTCACACCAGTGCCGCTTCACTGTCCCAGGCTCCGCCTCGATTTCGGTATGAGCGACTCCGATCCCGTCGTGGCCACGCCGGTAGTGTGCATCGAGGCGAGCCCCGCTACCCCGCGAAGGCCCAGCGAAGTCCGCTCGACAAATCAGGCCAAATGACACGTCTGCAAGTCGACATTGTTTCTCTCGCCCACGCCCGATGAGGGCCACTCACACACGCGTTATATCTGGCGTCATCCTTTTCTGTCTTTTACGTCTTTGGACCTGCAGGCCAAGCTTGCGGGGTCGTTTCTCAATCATGGAAGACCCGATGTTTCCTCCGAACTCGTCCATTGATTTCGGCGCCTGTACGCGCAACCTCGTCATTTCATCTATGACGTGCTGTGCACCCGTTCGGCGTGGACCCCACCTGACTTTATGCTCAAAGTACTGAATAGGTTGCATTCAAACAAGCTTCGAGGAAACCTCGGGGATCCTTTTGTACGTCCACGGCCATCCTGGGCATGTCGATGTATGGAGCTCAGAGGTTGGACTCCCGGAGGAACGCCCCGGCATCCCCCTATCTCCAGCATCACCGTGAGTATCCTAGCGCACGGGTATACCGTCCAGGCGCGACCGTGAAGTCAGGCACTTGATGCAGGTATGATCGTGCAGTTCAGGCTCAGACGGCTCCATGAAACGTTTGTTCACCGCGACCGTCTCCCCGGAGCGTCCTACGGCTTCTCCGTCATGTGCTCTCAAAGAGAGAAAGAATCGTTCCGCGCAGAACGTCTCGCGTCCGAGTCCACGGTCAGCTTGATGCATGTAGTACTTGCACGCGACGTGCGACATGAAACGAGGGTCCAGTACGTCACGCTCGACCAGCAACGCTTACTTGGCTTTGCCGGCCCCAGAGATCGGTGCGCCAATGTCACTCTAGAACCAGGGTGCCCGGCACCCGCGATGGCGCTCGGTCGACGACGGTATGTCCTAGGACATACGCAACGCGCATATGCACCCCAGGATGCCAAGCTCCGGGCCCAGAACGCGGAGAACACTCGAGATCGAGAAAGAGGGTGGCCCGAGTGTTCTCGTCACTGGCCATCGGGCTGTTTTCATCGTAAATCGAAGTTCTAGCTCAGCCAGAGTTCCTGCAGGCCATTCTAGGTTTCGCCGCCGTGATATTAATGACCTAGTTCCGCTTATAGATGCGAGCAGCGTGCGCCGAATAGCTGGGCAGTTTCTCAGCAGCTCGCGTCCCTGAGGAGAAGCCTGTCGAAGAAGTCGAAGGCGTGGTTATACGAGGTAATATGCTCATGGAGTTGTTGAGTTGGCGTGTAAGCTCTGTTTCAGGCTGTGCATATTTTCATTGACGGAACTTCTAATGGGCAATACTCATGTCTGTTTTGCGCTGCAATTTCCGCCCTAGTGCTGACTACTGAGCTGAGACCTCAAGTTGTCAACTTGGGACCCCTGGCCTACATCATATGCGTCGCCCGAAGGAGTTCAGGGAACAACGGGAGTCCGATCCACTCTTACTAGTACTGCTGAGAGCACACGATGAGAGCGGAGAGTGATGTGTTTCAAACAGAGAAGGATATCCAACATATTGGATATGTCGCATTCTGTGTTCTGATGCTGAGCTTGTCGGACCGTGAAGGCCATGGGCGTGGCGGTTTGGCTTGTCAGATCTGCCACACCCACTTTAAGACAGAAGGACGAAGAGCGCTGAGAGAACTCAGAGGACTTCCCGGCGGACCCCATCGCCGATATTCTTATCATTAATAGAGAGTAGCGGCATTTTTACCGGAGAAGCCTAGCATCGACACGAGTCATGGTATAGTTTCATTATGCTAAGTCCATTGTAATAAGTCGCATTAAAGCTCAAATTGACCGCTGGCTTTACTGAAACATATTAGTATGCGCGTATTGGGAACCTGCATCATCATACGCATTGCCCTGAGTTCGGTCACCCGTTGCTAACAGATATCCTGAAGCGTACTTTGAACTTGGCTGCGAGCCTTATACCCCTTCGGACTTGAGCAGCTGATTTTTGCAACTATTCGGACGCAAGCACTTGATTCTCTGGAATGGCTTCTTCAAGAAGAACTTGAGATCAGGAACGCGGAGATGCTGTATACCCAACGTGCGCCGTGGAGCCCACTGGCTGGTCTATGTGTGCTATTTCGAGGGTCGCCGTCCTGAATGATTCCAATTGGCTTGATCGATTGAATACCGGAGTTGATAAGCTTCAGGAAGAAATTCTATGCTGGAGAGACTCAGGTGGAGACTTTGGGTTCGCGGGCCGAGACACGGCGCTCTATGCCACATTCGGGAGGCATCTAATACGTGAAAGCTAGAAATTTGAGAAGCGTTCCTTGTGCTTTGTAACTCAGCGGTTGTATGAAGCATAGCCGCAATAAGGTACAGAACACGAGCAGAATTCGACGGGAGCGGAAGGTGGGGCTTGCGAGATTTCATGTCAGGAACGTTAAGCTTTGTGGCCATAGCGTTCGCCGTCGGGGTACCTAGCGGAGACGACCGATGGGTGAAAGCGGAAATAGCAGTGACTCGAACCTAGTTTTGATGGCCGCACACTGCTATGATAGTAAGGTAAATATTCCGAAATATTCCAAAGTATTCCAAGTAAGTATCTATAATGTAAGCACAGCAGCGAAGAACGAACTTCTATGAGATCTAAGCAATATGCGACAGTGCAAGGTAAAGTAGCGTATGGGTACGACGCATCTAGCGTCGTGACTTTCGTAATAAAGATGATGGCAAATTTTTACCAAAATCCAAGACCGAAAGCAAGAGAGAGAGGAAATGAAAGGAGAAAGTTTATGTTGCGTGAGGATAATTATAAAAGGTACCCGTGTCTTCGTCATGCGGAGAATAAGTCCGCTCGAACTCGCCAGGAGTGATAGTCGTGTCGTGCAACGTCATACAGGTTTCATTATGGCACCCGTCTTCAGGTGGGAGATCAGCGTCAAGTCCAGGCGGTGGCGTTTCGAACGTCGATGCGTCATCCGACAGCGACTCCGCCTGTGAGCCCGAGGGGGAGGCAGACCGCGAGCGCGATGCCAGTTTGCCAGACACGAACGATCGTCGCTTGCCCTCCGAGTCAACGATCTGACCCTGTTCGTCGACGTGTAAATCACTAATCCGCCGTCTTCCCCTTCCTCTGCATCCACCACTGCCGCTCTCGCCACTGCCATGTTCCTGCTCCTGCTGAGGACGCGAGCCATCGGAGCAGCTATCAGGCCCAGGCCCCATCCGGCCGAACGTTCCAAACGTTCCGCCCGTAGCCGCGCTGCTCACGGAGAGGTACGCTGTGCTGTTGCTCTGCGCGCTCCGCCTGCTTCTCCCGCTCCGGCTCGGATCACTCGCACTCCTACTCCCGCTGCCACAGCCACTGCCGCTGACGCTCGCAAACGCGAGCGAGGAGATCGCCGCCGTGGAGCTGAGGGTGTTCGCGCGGGACGACGATGGATCTGATGGAACGGAGAGAAGATCGCCACGCGAGCCGAAGGAGTAGATCGGGGAGAGCGGGCGCACGAAGCCACCCGCGATGGGGATGAGGCCGAAGTCGTCGGGGTCTTCGTTTTCGGAGACCGATGTGATGTTCACATAGGGGGCGCCGCAGGATGCAGATGGAGATGCCAGGGCAAAGGACGCGGGGATGGGGAGACGAGGGGGTGAGGAAGGGTGTAAGCGGGGACCTCGATGAGGTCTCGATGGAGCAATACGAGTGTGATTGTCGGGGTGGTGATCACGAGAAGAAGGCGCATAGCTATTAGCCCGCAAAAGGGGCGCTTCACGAGAAGAAGACGTGTGGCTGTTACCGCGCGAAAGGTATGCTTCACGGGAAGAAGACGCATAGCTATTAGCCCGCGAAAGGGGCACTTCGCCTGATGCTGATGGAGACTCGGCAGCGCCAGAAATAGAGGCGGACGTGTCCGAGAACGCAGACAGACGGTACGGGTGCACGTCGTGCCCGTACTTCCGGCTGGGCGCCTCGTCTTCAGTGAGGCGCCTCGGCATCGGAGGTCCTGAGACAGCGTCTTCTGTAATAACACTGCTCCGCCGTGTTTCAACTTGAAGACGCGAACTACCACCGCTGGAGACAGTCCCGTTCTTGTCAGCGCTGCTGCTCCGCGAATGGCGCCCCGCGAGGCGCTTTGCCCGCAGCTGCGACGCTGACGAGCCAGAGTTGGACCGCATCATGGACAGCGGGCGGATGACACCCGCCGCGGCGCACTCTGGCGGGATGAGCGGCGTGGTGGGTCGGGAGCTCAGGCTCGGAACGGCGGAGACATCCGTGCTGCCGCTAGGCCGAGGGAGAGGCGGGGGCGTTACACGTCGGCCCGCCCAGATGGGCTCGGGGTGATACGCGGGTGTGGGTGGGGTCGGGGTTCGGCCGCCTGAGGATCCTGGTGCGGAGTCCCAGGGTGCGAGCCAGTTTGACCCGCAGCCGGAGCCTGAGGAGGGGACGACGGTGGTCGAGCCTGACCATGCCGTAGGAGTAGGAGCGGGAGTGGGCTGTGCGACGCGCTTGAGGCGGAGCCGCTCCAGGAAAGCCGAGAAAGATGAGTCGCTGTATTTCTTCTCAACATGTATATGGGTTGACCTCGTCACGATAGGCGCGGTGAACTCCGTCTGATATCCCTCCTCGAGGTCATGAATAGGTGAGGAGGGGCTAGTGACGCGCAGGAGAGCATAAGCAAGGAAAAGATACGCAATCTGCAGAACATCGGTATATGAGTAAACGTAGGAAACTGGGTGTCGCCACTCACCACCACGATGAGAGTGAGCACAAGTCGGGCGACAGCGACGCCCATCTTCACTCCCTTGACAGACGCGCACGCGGCATTTTGCCGACCCATAGGCACCCACAGTCCGTCGAGATCCCAACGACAGGCATTCGCAGGAGGGCGACACGCGACCAACACAACGTTCACGAGGGCGCACACGACAGTAAGGAAAGATGCCGTATAGTGCAACATCTTGTACGCGTTAAGGGGGAGCACGCCGCGAATACGACGTGACCAGGGCAGCATGAGCACGAGCGGAATTGCGACTGATAGCGCAGAGACGAGACAGAAGACGCCGAACACAACCCCAAGCACGCTACCTGCGGGATCTGATCACGCGAGCGAGAGAGTCACGAAGGCGGAGAAGTAGCGCGCGGCGCAGTAAAGGCTCCAGATGGCTGGCGGAGAGAAGAGACGGACGGCGCGTCAGTACATAACGATAAACTGTGACACACGAAACCCGCAACGTACCAATGATCAGACCCAACACGACAACCCCGACCTTCATCCACACCTCGCGCGTCATCTTCATCCTCCGCACTCTCATCCCCATCCTCCTCCCCCTCTTCTCCCGCGGCCGCACGCGCTGCATCTCCACATCCACATCCGACAAATCCACCAACATCGGCTGGCTAATCTCCGTCGACGGCGTGTGCACAGGCGACTCCTCGCTCGGCCCACTATCACGACCCGCGTTCAGCAGCGTCGCAGTGCCGGTCCCCGCGGTATCAGCGCGCGCGCGTCCACTGCTGCTGGCCTGGGTTGCTGAGCGCGAGCCCGGCGCACGCAGGTCTTGTCGAAGGACCAAGTCGGATGAAGAGAAGGACGCGCGCGTGTGGTCCCGCCCGAAGCGCGCGAACTGGAGCGAGGATATGGCAGACGTGTTCTGCGCGGACGCGGAGGACTCGGCGGTCAGAGGCGCGGAGGCGATCGATGTTTGGGTGGTGTTTTCCATTGACAGCTATGAATGAATGAATGAATGAAGATGAATTTGGGTTACGTTTAGGTTCGCAGTTAACTTCGTCGTTTAATTGATGAAGCGGAGATGGGGAATATGTTCCAAGGATTCGTTGCGTTCTGTTGGTAAACGTCAGCGTTAACCCTCGACGCCGCGAATGCGCCGCGCGAGGCAGGTGGGCAGTGTGCATACCTCGGTCAATGAGCGTGAGCGTGAAAGAGCGTCAGTGTCAACTAGGTTGCGAAAAACACTAGGACAAAAAGGTTTATTCTGTCGCAACGCAATAACACCCCTGTCAGCCCCCCTCCCAACGCGCCAAAACCAAAGCGCAAAGCAAGCACTCACTATGATACGTACGACTAGTCCAACTCGTCGGCGTCAGCGGAAGCTCTCAAGAGCAGGCGGCGAGCACGATAACGATAGCGGGGCAACCGAGTGGTGGCGGCTGGTGGTCGACGTCAAGGGCGGATGGGGATGGTTCAAGTCCAAGTGTCCCGTGTTCGACTTTAGCTGCCATTCCGAACTCGCTTGCGGTTGGCGTGGCCGTACGTAAGTTGCGTGATGCCACTCTCCAACTCAATTCTTTCAAGTCAGCGCGACGCGAGTCCATTTGACACCCGCGAAGGAAAAGAAAAAAAAGCCAGAAGCGGGCCCGACCAATCGGCGTCCGTCTTCAGGAACCTGAACTTCAGGGTGTCGCGTAATGTATGTGTGAACTCCGTCCTCGGACCGATTCATCCGGTCGTTGAGACACGGCGAAGGTGCCAAAAGTTAGGATGAGTTCTCTCGCTCTTCATGGATTAGATAGTCATTGAGGCATAGGATACACAAGACAAATCTATAACTCATCGATGCAACCTTCATCGCCCCCATCATCTCGCCGGGACACTCTGCAACAACGCCTTTACTCGCCCCTGGCACTCGCTCAGACTCTGTCTATCATCCTCGTCCGCCCCAGCTTCCGGTGGGCAATCAAGAAAAGCTTCTAGATCCTTCGTTTGCTGCGATGAGAACGTCCCGCCACCCGCTCCTGCATCTTGGCTCGCCTGCTCCGCGTATGTTTCAAGCAGGCTATCAGACAGACACGCGTAAGCATTCGTAGAGACAGCAGAGAGAGAAACGAGAAACGGATGCGCACTTGACAAGGTTCTCAGTGACCCCCACATCGCGATCATGCTCGCCGTCCGGCCCAAACGGCACCGGCCGCACCAGCGCCTCCACCACAGCGTCCAGCAGCGTCGTCGAATCCCCTTTCTTGATATCCGGGTCGACGGGCGATCGCAGCCCGCGCAGCATCGTCGCAGACGTCGACGCCGACGCCGGGTCGTCTACAATCGCCGAGTGCGAGTTGGGGTGCGAAGGAGGTGCGCTGGGTGATGAGCTAGTGTGCAGCGCCGCGGCTGTCGAGCCTACTCCTGCTTCTGTTCCTGTGGGTGCGCTCGCGCTCGCGGGCGGGGCATCGTGCGTGGGCAGCAGGAGGGTGTTCATCAGGAAGGCGGTTTTGCGGCGGACGCTGATGTCCGAGTCTGGTGGGTGTGAGTAAGCGGACACGAACGTTTGGAGGGTGGTGAGCTGGAGAGGAGAGAGAATGCGCACCTTCGAGACATGCCCGGAACGCTGACCAGCCGTTGTGTGCGTCGAACTGCTGGATCGCCGCGGCGCTGTGCTTCAGCAGGCTGGACAGGGTGAAGACGGCTTTTGAGCGTGCTTGGCGTGAGTTTGTCGAAGGGGAGAGGAATGGGAGGAGTTGAGGGATCGGGTCCAGTGCGAGGTACTGGCACAGGTATCAGGATGTGATTCGGGAAACAAGGGTGTGGAACGGGGAAAGGCGTACGGCGCTCTGAGCGGAAGGGTTGTTTTGTATGGCGATACCAATAATCCACAGCGTGTTGGTTTTGATATCGTCGCTGGACTCTGGGGACAGTAGCAGATCCTGTATAGGTTGCCACATGTTCATCTTCTTGAGATCTATGCGTAGCGCGGTCGTGTCAGCACGCATATTTCATCAAATCTTCTGCGCCATGATTGAAGCGCATACAAGCGCCAGGTCCCAGGACACTTACCATTGGCGTTATCAATGTTCTCGACGAGCTATCAGACACAAGTTGATATCAGATGGCTATAAAGATTAGGGAAACGAAACCAACCGTACCATCTGGAAGTCCTCGAGCGCAGTGAGCCGCGCGTCCTCATCGCGGCTTGTGTCGACCGCGCAGGCGAGCGCCTCGCGCATGAGCTGCGCATCCGGCTTGCCCAGGATGTGGTCGATGATGGCCGGGTCGAGATCGCGTCGCTGCACGGGGGCAGCGCCTTCGGACTCTGGCTGTTGCGTTGAGTTTTGGATGCCCCATCGGAGGAGTGAGTCCATGGTTGAGTGCTCGTCGTGTTGCGTTGCGTTGAGGTTGAGGGAAGAGGTACTATACCCGAGAATTGTGATATCGGAAAGAGGAAATGTTAGCTCGTCGGTGCAGATGAGGTTTTGAGTCGACGATGAGAACATGCTCGAATCATCTTCGAGAATACTTCCGGATTCCGGTCGATCTATCCGGTTTTCCGCTGCCAGGGAATAGGCGCCGACGTCGGCTGGGGCCGGCGGAGCTACAAAAGCTGCATCGAGCGCTGCAGTTTCTGCCTTGTCCTTTTCTTCGTTGAATTCCCTTGTCGATGAAGGCACGTTCGTTCACTCTTACATTGTGAGTATCCGACCATCTGCTTCTCCCATACTTCTTTGCTCTGTGATGATTCTTTCATACCATACGTTTTACCACATTCCGAATACACGATGTGGACAAACCTAAAGATTTCAGCCTTGTCTGATCTTCCTACCCTTGTCTTTGCTCGACTCTCCATCGTTTCTATCGCTGACGCTCTTTTCTCAGATCTTCACCTAGAGGTACATCTGTGTATATTGTTCTTTTCTGGTAAGTGTCACCGTCTTTGCTGTTTATCTGTCATGTCATCTTTTCTTTTTCTCTCCCTGATGAAATTCATTCGATGGGCGGACATAATTGCTGCCTCTCCATTAAGCCTCCCGTGTACAAAGCGGAGGTGGGGAGTAAGCTTGTTGAAATGCATCGATACCTGATTTCTCTTTTTACCGTTTTGCCTTTTCCTTGCCCTCCTTCCACGTTTGCCAATGAACCACGCGCTGACCACCTCTTCCTCTAGCTTCCTTTCCTCGCAGCCTTCTTTCACGTTTGTTGCTGTTACGTAGTATACGCGTCTCGGTTGTATGTTTGTTACGCAACTGAATGCATTTCTGCTGCACCAATGATGATCAGTATTCCGAAACGTTTTTCCGCGCTTCATCAGATGATCGTTATGAATGTCCTCACTGAGGTGGTGCTTTTCCCTAAAAATATCACGGGGCGGTGAAACACCGCGCTTGGGTGCGCAGGACGCACGAGAAAGGCGACGCAGCAACGTTCACAAGGTCCAGGTCAGGCGCACGCCGAGCGTAATACGAAGTCATAGAGAATCCACGGAAGCACGCCACGGGACGTGTTTGGGCGGCGTGGTTGTTCCCGCTTTCGCAACGCACGCGCCTTATGTTGCTACAAGGAAGTGTATATATAAATCTAGACTTCGCGGGAATGCAGCCATAGGCCGTTCTCTTTGCGCAACGCATTCATATAAAAGCTCGGTGGAACGGATCCAACTAGCAACACATCTTGCTGTGGAGGATGAACAGACGAGTAACACAGACGACGGCGGCAGCAAGCTGCCAGCGAGCTAGGCTGCCTGCACAATGGGATCCAGACAGAGACGAACACCAGGCGCGGTACGAGGATGCATGTGACATTGACAGCAAAGAGGGGTCCGAGGCCGCCGGGCGCGTCAAGTTCGCTGCAACTTTCCATGCTCCTATCTCTGTCTCTGGTTCCAGCACTCCTACTTTGACTGCGAGCACTGCTCCATCGACTTCGACAGACCGCACCGCACGACCGCAGCACCCGCACCAGCATCACCCGCATCGCATATCACGCACGATGAGCAGGAGCACGGCGAGCCTCTCGAGCGTCGAGGAAGAGGACCAGACGTGCAGGCCCAGTCCTGTCCAGAACACGCATGATCTGGAGCCGGAGGGTGTTGTAGGTCGCATGGGCTCGGCGCTTGAGCTGGACCACATGGGCAATGACGACGACGAAGAGGCAGAAGAGGAGGCCGTTGAATGGGAGCTGCAGGAAAACGGGCTGTATGTTGGTACGACCGTTCATTCATTATATCTCATGTGCCTGAATGCTAACACCACCCACCCCCAGGTTCATATCGCCGCCTGCTGGCCCTCTACAGCTTTGTCCCCCTGACCGCCCTCCTCACCTTCCTCTTCCTCGGCTTCCTCCCACTCGCCGCATGGCCGCGCGATCCCGACGACTCCCACCACCCCTCGTCGCCCTACCCACCCTCCTTCCCCTCCCCGCTCCCCGAACTCCTCCTCTCCTCCTCCCTCTTCGCGCTCTCACACCTCCTCCGTGGCCCGCTCTACACCCTCATCTCGCTCCTCATCCCCTCCTCAAAGCCCTTCTCATCCCTCGCGACCTCCCTGACATTCGTCGCGCTCCACGCGTGCCTCACCACGGGCCTGCGCCTCGCCGGGCTCGCCCTCCTACAGGTGCGCCACCGCATGAACCACGTCCTCCCAACATGGGACGCGGAGCCCGCGTTCCGCACCGTGTGGTGGTTCGCGCTCAATGTCGCGGAGGTCGGCGCGGCGGTCGCGCAGGGGTACGCGCAGATCGCGAAGTACAGAGATGTGCTCGTTCCGCCTGGGCGCGCGAAGGAGTTTTTGGTCCGCGCCAGAGGCGGGATCGGGGCGGGGGCTGCGGGCGGGGGTGGGCACGCGCTGGTTGGTGAGGGGCTGCCGGGGGTGTCGTTGCAGGAGAGCTGGATAGAGGGGTTTGGGGATGTGGAGGATCAGGTGCGGGCGCAGCAGAGCGCGTCGGCGCGTACGTTTGGACGTGCGTCGGCGCATGGGGAGGACCTGGAGCAAACGGCGCACGCGCAGGGCGATGGCGCGAGCGCGGACGCAGCTGGAGGAGTCAAGTTCCAGGACGAAGACACGGTCATCGCGACGCAGCTCGAGCACGATTTCGACAAGCTGCTCGCGATCGAGGAGCGCGAAGAGCTCGAAGAGATATACGGCATGCCTGTTATCGTGCGTCCTTCCTTGCCCCTCGCTTCATCTCACCACGTCTAGTTGCTTCTCTAACACACCCACAGAAAATCCCCGTCTTCATCTCCTGCCTGCAGCGCTTCGCCTCCATCCTCGTCTCCCTCGGCCTCACCCTCTTCCTCTCCTCGGCCTACCTCCGTTCCGCGTCCTCGATCCCCGCCTCGGACACCGCCGACCCCTCGCTGCCGCCCGCGCGCGACCCGTACCCGTGGCTGGGCGCCTCGCTCCCCGCCGTGCTCGCCGTGCACGTTCTGCTCGGCGCGCTGTACACGCCGCCGGTGTTGCCGCGGATCGGCGTGCATACGGCTGCGTATGTGAGCACGCTTGTTGGGCTGGGCAGCTTTTTTGCGGGGCTGGCGGTGTGGGACGCGTTGTCGTAGCGCGTTGCTTGGTGCTGGGGTGGGCGCTGAGCAGGCGGGGGTTGTCTCTGTGTGAGTCGGTCATTGTGGGTGCCAGTGGGGCAATGGAGAAGAGGTCCCTGATGTGACTATTATGTACAGGATTAGCTATAATGTCGATGTACATATTGCTTGTTTCTTTGGTCTATATTGCACATACAGTTTATCATCTCAGTGCTGTTTCCGAGTCTCGTAAGCGCCAGCACGCGTTTCATCCTTGATGGGTGTGCTCTCACGCACACGCCACCATCTCCCACATTCTGCCATCGATTTTGTCCCCTTGGCTTCTCCCTGTATACAACTTAGCAGGTGCACTCAATGTTGGGCAACACCCCCGCCGGCGCCGAAATCCGAGATGTTCTGGCAACGTTCTCACACATCATGAGCGGAAGACTCAGATCAACCTCGTTCTACATGCCGACGGTGAGACAGACACGCCCCCTCTTATTCTGGCTGACTCAGGTCGATCTCATTGGTCGGACGTCGTCGTTCTCTGCGCGAAGCCCAGGACGCGTGTGCTCGCCGGGCCTGAGGTGCTTGAAGACGAGCCGCGCAAGCCTAGGACGCATCGCTATGGAGATATCGTGGCCTGCCTGGCACTGACACCTGGAATAATAGCATCGGCGGTTGTTGCTCTACCGGATCCGGATCCTGCTGGGCCTTCGAAGTCTTCGTCTATACCACCCTCACCGATTTCGGAAGAACGCATCGCAGACGAAGCGCAGGAGCCCCGCGCCACAGGTGCTAGTGGCGTGCAGGAGGAGCTGTCGGGCAGTAACTCTGTTCGCGTTTTCGCTTCAGTCCGTCCGACCACGTGCTAATGGATAGGCGCTCAATCATTAACAGCAGGCGCTAAATGGAAATCACGGTCCGTCTATCCAGCCTACAGAGCGGCGTCAAAGAGAAGAGGCTGAGGATGATTGGGAATCCTTGATGAATGCAAGTTCACTGTTTACGTTCACTGATATCCTCTTGATGCCGGAGCCCTGCAGATGCCGGCAACTGTCAGAAGACGGGATCTTCTTGCTGAGGAACTAAGCTCCATTTCGAACGCAAGTGTTTCAGTGTGTTGATAACGCCTCGCCCTTTGCTGAATGAATTGTGTCAGGAATCGGAACGTTCTATGGGTGGGGAAACTGAAGACGAACCGATTGAATTTAAGCTCTGGTCTCGCTTGCGTGATGTCTTCTGGGCTAAGCCACGAGCACGCGATGATATCGACATGGCACCAGCTCCGCACCCGACCGTCGGTGGCGAAGAGAGCACTAGTCCAGAAACCAGTTCTCCGAGAAAAAAGAAATGGAGGGAAATGCTCAAGCTCAAAACCAAGGCCCGCCGTTTGCTATATAATTGGCACAATGCAAAGAGTGACTCAGACGACATGGAGATGCAACAGAGTACCAACGCTCCACAGTCTAGCTCTGTGTGCGAGAGACCGCTACGACGTCCATCCACCGTCGTCGTGTATGCGGCAAGAACAAAAGAGGTCAGGAAACCTCTACTCATCAAATATACCATGCTCACTCATGTACGAAATACAGCTTCTTGCTGTCGGGATTCCGACAAGGCTAAGGCAGCGCCGACAACGGGAGAGGCAGGCTGAAGAACAGGCTCGTGCAGAGCAAGAAAGAGAACCATCCCCGATTACAGAAGAGTCGGACTCGAATGCTGAAGATGAATATGATCCCGCCCAGCTCAGAGGTTGCAGGTGCTTCTAACATGCATAATTCTGAGTTGAACAGGTCCGTGTGGCGAACAGGACTTTCACTGCCGTGCTTTGTCTGTTGCGATAATATGGGTTGGGTAGCGTCGTATCGACCTTGAAGCGAAAGCCTCTCGCTGAATCTCCGTCCTTTTTGGCAGCATTATCACGCACCAAGTCGAAAGGTTCATCATTGAACCGTCAATCATCACGAATGTCGCTCCGTGACCTTGCTTCGCCCTTGACTGAACTTTTGATCTCTGGTCATATATCCAATTCTGCCGCCTGCCACTAGCATCACTACCTTCGCACAAATCATGAAGTCCATCCTCTCCGCCTTCGTGGCGCTTGCCTACTTTTTGCCCTGTGACTGAGTCTCCCGCAACCTGCACTCGCCGCGCCATACCGTCCCTAATTTGTCTGGACGACTATGACAGAGCGTCTAATGTCGATTTTCTTCCAAGGCCATTTGAGACGAATACTGCCATCGAGAAAGGGTTGGTCTAGAGACATGGGGAGAAGGAACATTTCACTATATCCTTGTACAAGAGTACTCGCAGTGAAGGGGTTCATTACTTGAAAGGTTGTGTATATGATCAAAGAAGTGTCAAAGCTCGCTGACAAGTACTGTCCCGTCCTACCAGTACTCGTCGTCCGAATTCTCATCATCCACAGGGCTGTTGTCAATTTCTCCTTGAGAATTGTACCTGTCTTCCTCACTATCGTCGTCGTCGTCATCGCCATCGTCCACCCAGTAATTTCCTTCCACCTCCTCGCGCCTACGTTCATGGCTTTTCACGTCTTCGCCAGCGTCACTGGAGAGTTGGAAGCCACAGGCCTTGCGCACTCCGCGAGCGACCCAGCAGTCGCGCCGATCGGTCTCGAGAACCCATCTGATAGACCTGAACCCATACGAATCGGATGTCTTGTCTTCTTCAGAGTCGGTGCAGCCGATCTGGTAACCGATGCTGACTGCCGCGAACAACAAGCGCACGCCCCACACGAGTTTCCGCCTGTACTCGTGCTTCTCCGCGTCGCTCGCCCCCGAAATCGGCTGCTCGACGTCACCAAAAAGTGCCTTGTTGATATCTAGAACGTCGCTCCGAGTAAGGTCGACAGCGCCGCGCTCGATGCGCCGCCATTTTCTACCGGAGTTGCCGTTTGAGGTGTCGAAGAAGCCGTGGCAGATCGAGCGCCAGCCCTTGGACTTGTGCATCGACGAAGCGGACATTCTGTCCAGGTCGCCTACCTCCTTTTCAAGGGCAGCGATGCTGGCGTGTTCCGGACGCGGCTTATGCGTGATCTTGAAGCCCAAAGCATAATTCCACTTAACTTCGTGCATCCCGCACGCGTTGTTGTAGTCAAAATGGACGTCGATATAAGCAGGGGACGAGGGACTGTAGACGCGGGCAAAGGCCCACGCTGTCTGGGGCTAGGGGACATGAGTTAGAAAAGGAGAGAGCGCTACCATCAAGCGCGGACTCGAGAGACACGTACGTTGGTGACCTCCTCTTCAACCTCGCATCCCTCGTTTAGCACAACGACACATTTCCTCAAAGTATCCTTCGGCAGCTCCATCTCCTTCTCAAGCTCGGAGACGCATTTTCTCATATAATCGTTGATGGCGTCGTCTCCAAGTTCCTTGAACGGACGATGAGGGTCGACCGCGAATTTCTCGAATGTCGAGGAGCGGTTCGCAACGTAGTTGGTCCATGCAGCCTCAGATGCAGCAACGGGAGACAAAAGAGGGCCAAATGTCTTCTCAGCGAGAGCCAGACCGCTCGTGACCTCTTCGTCTTCGGCACGCAGTCGAGTCTTGCCAGATGCCCTCTTCTTGGCAGTCCTAGTATGAGCTGCCTGCTGGGCAGCGGCTTGGGCAGGAGCCTGAGAGGTACCAGGCTTCGGGGCTGTCTTGTGTGCTGTTTTCTTCTGGGACGGCATGATACTAAGGAGAGAAAAAATAGGCGTCGTTAGGTCATCGAACTTTCATATATAAAGGGGTTGAGACGTAAGCTATTCAGATGCAGACGCGTGTCCAGGTGACGCGACGCGTCGCGTCGCTGTCGGTGGTTTTACATGGGGGGCTACTTATCTCGCATGATTCCCTAAAGATGATTGTCCTCACAATAACATAGCAGACGGTATATCGTACAGACGTGATCTCTAATAAGCCCCCTGTACTATTCCTAACCCTCCAAAACGTCTCTGCCTTCAATTTCAAGCAGCCTGTTGAAAACGAGCAACATCAGAGCGAACCGCGTGAACTATCTCCATTTGCGGCATAGAAGAAAAGGTCATCCGTTCCTCCAGCAGCCAGTCCAGAACTTCCGTGGAGAGTTGACAATCCGAAATATGAATCGCCGAGAAGGACCGCGTTCCTCCACCTAATCTCAGGAAGGCAACATCTCCTACTCCTAGGCATTGACCGACGCTCAACATCGACCCGCCTAGAGTGTGTGAGGCTCGGATGAGACCCTCTCCGTCGTAGGCGTTGATGTCGATGATCATGGGACCCCCACCCGTGCTCCGCCTGGCAAAAGTCGGGGAACAAAGATCGGTGTGAGCGATGGTCGTCAAAACCGGCTGCGACGCGAAGCTATCCAATAGATCGAATACAAATGTGCCCTCCAACCCGTCGAGGTGTAGTGAGCGTAGAGATGGTAGCGCGATGCGACGTTCTGCATGTTGTATCGAAGTGACTTGGCAGAGCTTGGCTCACTATCAATTAGGAACTTGGGGCGCTAGCTGAGTCTTGGAACGTCTACCGGCTCGGACTTGGTGCTGTCGCTGCTGCCAAGCCTCACCCCTGGTGCTACCCATTTCGAGATAAGCATATCTCTTGCCAGGGCGCTACGAGACACATACTGTGGGGCTAGAACAGTTCAGGGCCACTGGGTGGAACCGCAAAAGACACTTGGGAGGGTTTAGTCACCTCATGTCAACGGCGTAGACAAAACTCGTCGGGGTTGAATGCCGAACTAGAAGGAATGGCGAGGGAAACGGTGGGCGAACGGCTGAACGTTTACCGTACAACTAGTTAGAGCCGGAAATCAACACGGTATCGCACCAATAGGCACCAACGCTTTCGGTCGGGTTCGATCGGAGAGCTTCGATGGCTGTCCTCAATTAGGTTCACGCTCCTGAGCGTGGTTGAAACGTTGAAGGTTGAATTACGCCTACGGGACCTTCCTGGGCACGGGGCTACTGTATATACAGGTAAACTTGAATAAGTTTCACGAACGAGAACTATAGCGCGACGAGTATGGCATTATTATCTTCGAGATAATGTCACCTTATGAAGCGTCAATAAATACATTCGAGCGCATACCACAGAACCACGCAATAACTCACATGCATCCATAAAGCCTTTATAATAGAGTTCGTGTAGCTCTCGCTCCTTTGTTTCAGAGTCTTTGAGAGCGTTAGCCGCCCAAGTACTTCTCTCCTCTCGACGACGGCGCTCCTCGTTCAACGTGTCCTCTACGGGATCCCTGGGAAGCCAGAAACCACATGCCCTGCGCACGCCGCGAGCCACCCAAAAATCGGTCGTAACGCTTTGGAGAAACCATGGGATCACTCCCGGACCGTAGAAATGGGGAGAGAGGTCGGCTTCGGAAACAACGCAGGCTATTCGATATGCGATACCGACCGACGCGAGCAACATGCGCACTCCCCATACGAGCTTTCGCCTGTAGTGTAACTGCTCCGCCGCGCTCGCGTTGACCGCCGGCTGCTCTGTCCGCCCGAAGAGTAGCTGGCAAACATCTATGACGTCGTTCGGAGTGATGTCAACAAGGCCGTGTTCGACGGAAGTCTGGCCTGGTTGCCTTTCCACATTGGATTTGTGGGAGTTGTCATAAAAAGCCCAGCAGATCGAGCGCCAACCATTGGACCGGTGCATAGATGACGTTCGAACGCCATCCCAGTCGCCTACTTCACCTTTGAGAGCAGAAAGGTTTGCAGGGGAAAGTGTCACATCATGCGTGACCTTGAAGCCAAGTGCATACTGCCACTTGACACTTCCTGGCGATTCGGCAGAGGGCCCCGAGTAGTACTCGAAATGTACATCGATGTAAGCGGGAGAAGCTGGGCTGTAGATGCGACTGAGTATTTCTGCACTCTGTCACTGAAAAGTGAGTCAAGGTACGAGGAATAAGGCAAACCACCACCAGTATTCAAGGGATAGACTCACTCGGAAACTATCTCCCTCTCCAACGAGCTCGTACTTCTCGTCAAGTACAATGACGCACTTTCGGAATACGCCAGGCGGCGCTACCCCCATCTCTGACTCCAGCTCACAGACCCGCTTCGCTACTTCGTGCTTGATAACGTCGTCGTTTGGTCCTTTAGGCGATCTATCAGGGTTGACGGCGAACTCCCTGAGCGTTGAGGAGCGATTCGCGACATAGTTGTTCCATGCATCCTCAGACGCGGGTACGACAGGGAAGAGGGGGCCGAACGTCTGCCGAGCTAGGGCAAGTCCACTCAGAGTTGCCTGGACAGGGATTTGTCCCAGAGCCGCCGAGTTCAAGACAAAGGCCTTCTTGGCCGTCTTCTGTGCTGCTTGTTGAGCTGCGGTCACCTTGACGCGGTTTCGCGTAGGCTGCAGTCGGGTCTTCTCAGCTGGCTTGTGCGCTGCCTTCTTCCTGGCTGGCATGAAAGTGAGGAAGGTGATTGTTTGAAAGGACGAGTTCTAGCGCCTTTAAACATAGCTAAACTGTTGAAACGTAAGTAGCCAAGGGGCATCGATGTGGTTGACGTCGCGCGTCGCGTCGCGTCGCTTACCGCGGGCTAGACTCTATGTCATAGTGACTCAGTCTGTTTGTCCTTCTCACAGTCGTAATTTATAACGGAAGCCGAAACATTGCCGAAACAGGGCAGTCGGAGAGGCAAGCGGAGGCACAACTTTCCCACGTTTGTCTTGCCGCTGTCAGCGGTACTCTGAGCTTTGCCATATCGCTTGCTCACGACGCCGTACGATGAACGACGGCCAATCTTTCTGCACGTCACCCTCGCATAGGCCCGAGTCAACTCGGAGGCTCTGCGCACACGTGTTCGACTTGCCCATGCATGCCACCTTTGCTGTACGAGCGCTCCGTGGAGCACACCCTCTTTAAATGATTGGACTCGCGCACAACCCTATCTCTATCCCCATCCCTTCCCCACATTGCCACCCGCACCTCCCACCATGAGCTACATCCACGCCAGGCGCCAGATCGCCCACCAACGCCGCGCTGGAAACAGCTCGCAGCTGTTGTCCCAGCTCTACAGGAAGTGGCGGAAGGCGCAGAAGAAGCTCCAGACGGGAGATGTCCCCGGCTCGGCGCGCATCTGCAGCACCATCGGAATGCCACCCCGGGCCCCGTCCCCATCCTCGTCCGTCCAGATGGCCACTACTGGTCCGCTGGTTCGGCCCTCATCTCCCTCCGCGCAACTGCAAGCCGGACCATCGTCCGAGATTGACGACAGCGACTCTCTCATTCGCACCGCCAACTCAGACGAATCGGCCGACTCTTCATCGGGGGTGAGTCCATCCCTAAACTTTGTCTTTATTTATTGTAGTCTGACTGTTTCATCCACAGCTCCTGGTGACGAGGCCCACCTATCGCTTACATTCAGGTGCATACGCTACCTCGTCCTCTTCTGCCTTAGGAAGGCACAGAACGTCTGTACGTAGGCTCTGGACCCATGTATCTCAACCTCGCTACGGCGACTTGACCAGGTCTTGATGAGGACCATCACGGTTATCGCTTGGACGGACAGGCTTCAGAGGTAAGCCTAGATAGTTTTGCCAACACCACTTTCAAAATCGGCACTGACCCTCCCTTTAGCGTATACCACACCTCATTTACTCTCAGCTACGCGTGGAACGCGTCGAGTTCGACTACCCTCAACAACCGTCGCGGATCGATTATATGAATGCTTATATATGCGCGTTCCTGGTGACCGAGTTGTCGTGACCGGTGTACGACTATAATTATGGTTGCGTTATTGATTTTTATTACGCAGAGCGAAGGATTACATGTACTCGGTATATTACGGTGACTTAATCTAACATCAACGGCGCAGGGCTGCCGTTAACCGAACAGTTCGAAGCATTGTCATGTACTTGAGCAGACTCGAGGACTGTGCAAGGCCTAATGCTGCTGCAAACATGGCTGCGAATGATTCATGACATTGGGCGAAGTGGTGTCACTGTGAAGTCGCGACGTGGGAGAGCGTAGTCTGACGCCTCCGTACACACCAATCGTGATATCACACAAGCACAGAACGCATTCAATGTGACATAGTCAAAAGCGGCCCTCGCACGGGGTGCTCGCGGTGGACAAAAATATCCAACCAAAGCTGTCGATCTGCTAACTAAAAATACCAAAAGACAACAAGGCAAAAGAGACGTAAGGAAAGAGTCTACAAGTCGTACACCAGCTACTGTAAATGCTACATTTTGACTGCGAACCTCTTACTTGAACTGCAACCCGAAAAGAAAAAGAAAAACCCTCGTCAGCATACAGATCCACGCTAGAACATAAGAAAAGAAAGAAACGCACGTTCTTGCCATCCTTCCACGCCTTCCCGTCAACCTCGAGATCCCAAGCAAGAGCAGCCTCGAAGAACTTCTTGTCCTCCTCGTTCGACAGATCGAGCTTCTTGTAATCGTAGCTCTCCCAATCGGGCGCAGCCTCCACGACGGGCTTGGCCTCCTGGCCACGGAGGATCAACGCGCCCGAGATCACGGACGCGTTGTTCTCGCCGAGCACGCCGACAGAGCCGAACAAGTACTTGCGCGACGCCTCCAGCCGGTTGAAGAAGCCACCGATCTGGTTCGACGACATGAACACCTGTGTGAGCTCCTCATTGTACTTGAAGTCAACGCGCCAGACGGAGAAGCCGTCCTTGTCGAAGCTGAATTACACGAATTTTTAGTCAATTATTATGATTCAATGAACCCCACGAGAGCACCGGAGATACGCACTTCTCGTAGAACCACTCCAGCGCGCCACCAGCACCGCGCGTTTCCTTGTTGGAGTATGCGCGTTTCCAGTCCTCGAGGTTGAAGTTGGACTTGGGGAGCAAGTCGAGGGGGTTCTTCTCCTTGGGCTTCTCATCAGCGAACGACTCCTCCTCTTCCTCCTCCGCCGCCTTGGGCTTAGCAGCAGCCTTGGGGGCGGGGGCGGGCTTGGGCTCCTTCTTCTCCTTGGCGGGGGGCTTGAACTGGACAGCGGTCTCGGCGTACGTGATGCTGCCAAAGATGGGCTTGAGAGCGGGCTTGTTGGAGACCGTCTCAAAGTGGCGGAGGGTGTTGACGAGCTTGGCGCGCGTGAGGGCGTCAATGAAGGAGTCGAACGAGCGGCGGTTGACAGCGGCGAGGACAATGTCGGCGAGGGTGAGGCGCTCGCCAACGAGGTAGGTGCGGGTGGCGAGGTGGGTCTCGACGGTCATGAGGCCGCGGAGAGCGCGCTCGTGGAAGGTGTCACGGATCTGTAGACAATTAGTTGGGAAAGGGGGTTGGGGATACAGAAGGATGAAGACGTACGGGCTTGGCGTAAGGGGCGAGGAAGCCCATGACGAGCTGGAACTGGAACTGGTTGTAGGTCTGGATCTCGCTCTCGATGAAGTGGATCCACTGGGCAACCTCGATCTCGTCCTCCTTGGACTGGCCAAGAAGACCGGAGTTGGGGGCAAGGGAGGCAACTGTAGAGATATGGTATGAGTCATAGAAACGTAGATGGAAGAAGAACGAATCGAGTCAGAAAGAAAAGCAAGTGTCGACATAAGAATGTTAAGACAGGGATAACTGAAGATAAGATCTCATCTCTAAAGGGCGCAAACGCGGGTCGGTGGTTTGAAGCGAGAGACTTACGGTACTGGGCAATGACAACACCCTCGGTGACGGACCTGCCATCGGCAAGCTCGAGGGCGGGGATCTTGCCGTGGGGGAACTTGGCAAGGAACTCGGGGGTCTTGTTGGTCTCAAAGTGGGTATAGGACTCGGGGTAGGCGAGCTCCTGGTTGGTAAGGGCAGCAACCGACTTGATCTGTTAAGGAGATTGAGATCACGAGTCATAAGGCATCGATCTGGTAAAACGCACGGAGACGGACTGCCACATAGACTCGACGTGCCAGAGCGTGCCGACGGGTGCCATTTTTTGGTGTTGTGGGTGTGGAAGACGGGGAGGAGAGGGGGCGATGGGTGGTGGTGATAAAAGGCAAATTTTATAGAGTGAGCGGTCGATCTGTGATCTTGCTGAGGACGGCTGCGGGGCTTAGGGCAGGTCTTATCGATCTTGCCTTATCTTGCCGGTGCGGTGGCTGTGTTACCCTTATTAGCATTCACTTCAAAGTTTGTAGCCAAGTGCCACTAATCCCATTGCATCCGTGCAAAGTCCGGTCCGCCTCCCAATGAACAGCTCCTCCAGCGACAGCAGCGACGGCGAGCACGACGTCTACAAACTCCCTGCCGCCTCTGCCTGGGACACCGACGGCCCCACCTTTGTCCCCACTTCCTTCGACGCCTACTTTGCCCACGCAGCCGCTCGCTCCCAGACATCCAACAACCGCTTCTCCAACGAAGTCCTCCCGCTTACCCAACAAGAGTATGCCGACGCCCTTCGCTCACAGCTCAAGCGCGAGGCGGCTCATCCACAAAGAACGGCCTGGGCCGGACCAGGCCCGCATGCCCAACAGACCGCCCTAAGGCGCTTCGCACACGAACTTGACGAAGGGTTCAGCCTGCTCTTTTATGGCGTCGGCTCGAAGCGCAACGTACTCAACATGCTCGCGACGCAGGTCCTCTCGAAACGAGGACATGTCGTTGTCATCAACGCCTTTGCACCGCGTCTCGGCGTGCGCGACGTGCTTGACGCGATCGAGCGCGTTCCCGGCCTCGCTGACGCGCCGTTCCCTCCTTCAAATACAGGCATGTCGGGTGCAGACGCGCAACTGGACCGCATAGACGCGTTTTTTGCGCCGGAGAATGGGCAAAAGCCACTCTATCTCGTCGTGCACAACATCGACTCCCCCGCGGCGCGTGCCCCGCGTGTACGTCCCGTCTTCGCACGTCTCGCACGGCACCCACGCATCTACCTCGCAGCAAGCATCGACCGGTCGACCGCTCCGCTTCTCTGGCCCGCGTCGGAAGCGCTCGCGCGCCCACCACAGACACTCTCCACTCTCCCCACCTCTCGGTCATCCCCACATCGTACATCATCACGCTCGTCATCCACCTCATCCTCCCATACACCCTCCGCATCGACCCGCCCACCTCCGCGCCCCGCATACGCCTTCCTCTACCACGACCTAACCACCCTCGAGCCATACGACCACGAGCTTGCCCCCGCCGATCGCTCCTCCCTTGCAGGCGCATCCGCCCTCTCCTCCGGCGGCCCCGCCTCCGCCCTCACAGCCGCAGCCGCCGGCGCAAACGCGGGTCCGATGTCCGACGTAGCCGCGAAACACGTCCTGGCTGCTGTCACCAACAAAGCGCGCCAGCTCTTCATACTCCTCGCAAAGCAGCAGCTCGAGGCGATGGAGATGTCCGCCGGGGAAGATGCATCCGACGCCGCCGCGGCAGCAGGCGGCGGCAGCGGAGGGGCGGGGGGAGGGATGGCGGAGCTTGAGAAGAACGGCATGCCGCGCGACTCGCTCTTCGAGCGCGCACGGAACGCGTTCCTCGCGATGGACGATACCGCGTTCCGTGCTCTCCTCGGCGAGTTCCGCGACCACGGGCTTGTCCGTGCGTCCGCGCCGCAGTCGGGCACGGCGGGCTCGGTGCTGTGGATACCGATGCGTGCGGAGCGACTGAGGAAGGTGTTGAGGGCGCTTGAGGAAGAGTGAGCTGATGATTTGGCTTTGTGATTAGATGTGGAGGCCGTTGGATTCGGGGCGAGGGCGGGGTTGTTGGAATGCCGAGTTGTGGTGACTGCATGGTCATAGGCCAGCGTGTTCTTAGATTAAGGCAACTCCAGCATAAGTACAGTGGTGCTCAACGTCAACGGCGCTGTATTCATGTTTTACCTGCTGCCACTTCCCGCGGAAGTTCACGGAACTGCTGGAGTATGTTTCAAGATTATCCTGAGCCATCAGCATGCATTATAGAGTCATCTCCAATCACAGAGGTTGCGGCTCCGAAATTAACCAAGAGTTAGTCGTCTCAAGCAACCCTGAAGCTATGTATGTAGGCGTTCCGCACAGAACTGCAACATCTCGACAGATCTAGCGACATCTATGCGCGACGCGGGTGAATCCAGTCAAATCCCTTCCTCTACACGCCCATGGATTTCACAGCCGTAGCTCGGAACCGCAACACATTAGCCTCGCACCCGGCGACATCATGATTTCAACCAGAAGCCAGTTCTGTATATAAAAACCAGCCATCCGCAGCGATGTCCAGACATCAACATCAAATCTAACACACACTCTCTGGTTCCACTTTCAGTCCTATCACTGTTGTCAACATGCCCTTGATATCAAACCTCCTCCGCGAACACACAGTCGCGACCGCAGCCGTCGCTGTGCTCGTGACCTTTGCGCTTCTCCTGCTCCGCCTTGTGCGCGCCTCTAGCACCAGTGGACGGCAATGCACGCTCCCCGGCCCTAAACCGTGGCCGCTCCTCGGCAATGTACGCGGGTTGGACGTGCGCGAGCCTTGGAAGGGCTACAAGCGGTGGAGCGAGACGTACGGTGCGCATGCCCTCCTGCCACCTTTTCTTTCCTGACCCGTAGCTGAACAAACATGATTGACCGGTGGTAGGCCCGATCTTCCGCACGCGTTTCGTCGGGTATGACATCGTCGTCATCAGCGACGAGCGCATCGCGCGCGAGCTCCTCGACCGCCGCTCGGGCAAGTACTCGTCCAGGACGTTGTTCCCCACCGGCGAGGCGTGCGTAATCCTTTCTTTCTGCCTTCTCTCCTTTTGTGCCCGTGACCGACCGCGGTTGCGACCTCGTTCGTAGGTACGGCTTCGGGCGGTACACACCCCTGCTCGAGTACACCGACACGTGGCGACACCACCGGCGCGTCATGCACCAGCACCTCCGCGTCGACACGGTGCGCAACTACCGGCCCATGCAGCTCCACAAGGTGCGGCAGCTGCTCGAGAACGTGCTCGCGAGCCCCGACAACTACAGGGAGCATCTCCAAACGTGTGTGGCACTTCTCTGAAAGCACACACGAACACGTGCTGATAGGATAGACTCGGACAGGTTCGCAGCGTCGGTCATCATGGCCACCCTGTACGGATACCAGGCGCACGCCGTCAAGGACCCGCTCGTGGCAAGGGTGAACCACTTGCTCGAGGTCGCTATCCGTGTCGGCTCGCCCGGGGTCGCGATCCTCGTCGGGTTCTTCCCCTTTTGTAAGTCGCACATGCTTTCCTCGGCGCATGCCTTCTTGGCTGACGGTTCTCCGTTTTCGGCTTGAAAAGTCAAGTACATTCCCATCTGGTTCCCGGGCGGAAGCTTGAACGCAGCGGCGTGCAGACAGAGTAACGATGAACTGGTTTCAGAGCCGTTCAAGTACCTGGAAGAGACTATCGTGCGTGTTCCCTCCTCTGTGCTAAACTGTGTTTGTTAATTCGATCATACTTAGGAACCCGACTCCTCGGTACCGAGCATGGGATACGAGGGCCTGTGTAATGCGAAGAAGGACCAGGACAGCGAAACTCAAGTCGCACTCATCCAAGACATATGCGGCACTGCATTTAGCGGTAAGCCGTCCCCCAAATCGTCATTCTGGGCCCGTCAGTCTAACAGCGACATTATCACTATCTCCATCTAGCTGGCGTAGAGACAGTACGCACACTACGCCCCTCCGTACTCGAACCACGTTACTAAACAACCCTCGATTTGCAGACCGTTTCCTCGCTCATAGTCTTCGTCCTAGCAATGGTGCTCTACCCGGACGTGCAAGAGCGCGCGTACTCGGAGATCGCGCGCGTGTGCGGCACGGACCGCCTTCCTACGTTCGAGGACCGGCCCGAGCTGCCATACATTGACGCCATCGTCCGCGAGACGCAGCGGTGGGGGCCCGTCGTCCCTATGGGTGAGTCCCGCTCCACCCATCGTCCACCAATGTACAGGAGGGGGCTGATGGCTCCATAGGCAATCCCCACACGACTAGCGAGGACGACGTATACGAGGGCGAGTTCATCCCCAAAGGTCAGCGAACAGTGCGTATCGTTCTCAGTCAGCCGGCCTTGCTCACGCAAGATCTCTCGATTCAGGCACGGTAGTCATAGTCAACGTCTGGTAGGCACCTCCCTCCCCCTCCTTCCCTCGCTTCATACCCACCACGCTCCTTGAACTCACCCGACTCTCCCAGGGCGATCTGCAGCGACCCCGCCCGCTTCCCCTCCCCCTCCGAATTCCGCCCTGAACGCTTCCTCTCCGCCGACGGCAAGTCGCTCGCAGATGACACAGACCTCAGCGTGGACCTCGTCTTTGGCTTCGGCCGGCGCGTATGCCCCGGCAAGCACCTCGCCGAGGGGTCGCTCTGGCCTGCGATTGCGGCGATGCTTGCTGTGTTCCGGTTCGAGAAAGCGGGCGAGTTTACGCCGGAGTGGTTAAGTGGGTCTACGTCGTGAGTACAAAATTTTCGTCAGTGCAGTTGCTGCAAGCTGTGGTGGGCAGTGGGCGCACGAGAATGTGATTAAATTGATGATGGTTTTGTTTTATCTAGGTGTCCGCGCCCGTTCCCGTGTAGGATCGTTCCGAGGGATCCAAAGATGGATGCGAGTCGGCTGGCACAGATGTAGACACCAAGGTCATCTTTAGCGGGCATTTTTAGCGCCGTATGATAGATTAAAAGTCATAGCGTGCACGCCTACGCCCCCGGCTTTCAGGCCTTCAGGACCGAGTGATAGCGAGTGACTTGATCGTTATCGATTTATCAACGGTGTCATTAAACCTGTCATTTCCCATTTAAGTTACAGTCGCGGACACGCAAAGTCTGCAAACAGTATCATTCTAAAAGCTTAATCACCGCATGTTATCTGGATGCTTTGGATTCCTCCGCACTTTCCTTGAAGGTCCTTGTCCGCCGTTACATGTCACAGTCGACGCCTTTCCTTGATTCATTCTTTTATGTGGTTCACCTTGTTTATTTTGCTTGCTTGCTACCCATCTTCTTCTGCGCCCGCATGAGGCGTCGCTATGCCATCCGATACTAAAGTTCTCATGAAAACAAGGTCCACGCAACCATAAAATCTTCCATCAGAACACGGTCCATGCAAGCTGTAGACATCGATCTCTTTGAATCCATCATTTCTTGAGATGAAAAAAAATGAACGGAATCAAATTGGAATCAAAGCTCATGCGTGCGCGCTCAGTCTTCCATTCGGCCCATACCCATCTCCGTTTTGTGCCGACGGGTCCGTTTACACACATCCCCGCCGCTTATGATACAAAGAGTAGCCTCTTTGCGTACCACTTGCTTTACAACTTCTCCCGCCAATCGCGCTCCTCGGTGTCAGGGGGCCATGATCTATTTTTGGACTCGTCTACACTCTAATTGTCCATGTCAATACTCACTTCACTTCCCGTCGGCCTTTAAAGCTTTAAGCTTTAGCTTTAACTCTCTTCTCGGAGACGCTTATACCAAACCCATCCTTGGCGTTGGTCGCATACTTCTTCGGTGACCCGTGTCATCGTAACGCCCGTTCAGCCCTTTTGCACGCATTCGCCTCACCCAGGTTAGAATCTGCTTTCGTCCGCTCGGATTGGACCTTTGTTTCGCCACTGGCCGGTTGCGCTGTCAGCTTCGGCGGTCATCAAGATAATATGGCTGTTCCCCCCTCCCAGAGATCACGGGCTTCTAGTCTTCCAAAACTTGTGCTTCACGTCGTATACTCTTGCTGCTAAAGTTCAGCACGATCTCATCAGTAATGTCCTCCTGATCATTTACCAGCCTTTACGCACCGCTTGTCCCAGGCTCTCCGCGTCGTCTCTCTATCGTCCGAGTCTCGTTTCGGGTGTTCACTTATGTCGGAAAAAGCGAAATCGCGTCCAGATGCATTGCTGATGCGGCAACCCCATCTTACAGTGGTTTGCATATGAATGCGGAAAGCTGGGTGGAGAGATGGCATGCATCAGAGGCTTTTCCGCATGTTTTTGCAAACCACTGTAATGGGGGGTTCGTAAAATTGAGATGCCGTTCCGACAATCATAAAAACGGGTTATCGACGATGAAAAGCCAATTACATCACGCTACGGCCGCATTCCCGTTTTTGGCGCCGTCTTGACGACTTTGAATGGCGGTTTGACAATGTGAGCCCTCCATATCACGCTGAGCCGCTAAATGCCGCCACCGCCAAGATGCCTGTTTGGTTTTTCGATTCCGATGGATCTCCCGTTCATTCAACGCCATTCATCTTCGGTTTCTTCTAGTGTCTAGCTTTCCACCGTGCCCCTTGAACCTTTCCAATAACTCCGATAGCCTCGATCTCGGGGCGATTCGATCTTTACGTCTTTGTCCCCTTCCTCTACTCGTCCATGATGTCGAATACATTCATACACGCCAACTTCAAACCCATCCGCAACTTTGCTCCGTCTATCTCCCTCACACCGTATTCACATGTGTCACCCTTGCCTGAACCACTCGCTCACCTTTGTACGAAATCCATAGTTGAGCTGGTAGTTTTGAGGGTATATTTCTGGCGGGCAGTACCAAATACCTTGCGGAGGGGGATAGTATACAGGTAGCTGCCCTTGAGCAGCTTCCATAGCGATAGTTCACGCAGGATGACGGGGGGAACAAGCATATATTCACGTAGGTGCAGCGAAACGGGTCCAGCGGAGGCGTCCTTACATCTAACAGGAAGCGCGCTTACAGGGTCGCCTCGGCAAAGCCTTGCCACGGTGACTAAAACTTTCCCAGATCCGCCATATTCAAACTCCGCGGGCATCGTGCGAAATTTTGTTATCGATGCGTGCCGCATCGATATCGATCAGCACAGCTACGCCATACGGAGGGGTCCACCTAATTTCGGTCCATTCGGTCATTGATCCTCGGGGTGTAGGAATCCTCCGCGCTTTCCAAGTCCTTGAGAGTCCTTGTCCGTCTGCGCTTGTCAGTCTCCCACGCTTTTTGGTGTGGTTCACCTTGTTCTTTTTGCTTACCTACCCGCCTTTCTCTGCGTCCGCATGAAGCGTCGGCACTGCTATCCGATACTAAAGTTTTCATTAGAGCGGGGCGCTGCCATGGGTTTCATCGGGGCATGGTCCACGCGAGCTGCGCTTGTCACCCCACAGCTCCGCCTAAACAACGTTCTCTTTTTGAATCCGCACCACACACTTTCTTGGGGTGAAATATTGGATGAAGACCTCGAAAGCTCATGTGTACGCACTCAGTCTTCTATCCGGCCCATAGCATCTCCGCCTTGTGCCGATGGGCCCGTTTACGTGCATTATACATCCCTTGCCACATCTATAGACGAAGGGTAGCCTATTTTCTGACCCTCGTTTACTTTACAACATTGTCCATCAATCGTGCTTCTCGGCGGCCATGGTCTGTTGCTGGAGGACTCGTCCGCACTCAATTATCAATTCTCACATCGCTTCCCGCTAGCCCTTAATGTTGAACCCTAGCTTCTCAGAGACGGCGCATATATACTTATTCGGTGACCCGTGTCATCATAACGTTCATCGAGTCTTTCTCGACTCGTCCACCTCACCCTGATTGGAATTAGCTTTCCTCTACTTGGTTTGAACCTTTGTTTCACCACCACCCGGCTACGCTATCAGCTTCGACGGTTACGAGGATCAGGTGCCCGTTCCTCTGTCCCCATTTATCAGAGAACACGGGCTCCTTGTCTTTCAAAACTTGTGCCTCATATCGTGTGCTCTTGCTGCTAATACCAACACGAGCTCATCAGTAATGCCATCCTGATCATGTGTCGGCCTTGACGTTCTGCTTGTTCCGGGCTCTCTGTTTCGGCCTTTGCCAGTATACCTGATCTGATGCGATGGCGCGCTGTCGCTCTACAGTGCGAGTCTCGTGTCCGAAGGTCCACTTAGCATGGTAGAGTTCTTTCCGCGCCTTTCCGATGGACCGCCGGTTCATTTAACAAAATTCACCTTCGGTCTCTTCTAGTGCCGAGCTTTTCGTCGTACTCCAACCTCCGATAACCTCGAAGCGGTTTGATCTTTACAATTTCGTACCCTTTCTCTACTCGTCCGCATTGCAAAGTAATTCGTACGCTGCCAACTTCGAACCTGTCCGCAACTAATTTTGTCTATCTGGCTCACAGCGTTTTCATCCGTAACACCCTCGCTTGAATCATCCGATAACATCAAATTCATAGTTGAACCTTTCCACAAGATATGCTTCCACGCTAATTCGGGTTAACATTGACGGTGATATATCACTATGTCCACCATCGCCCAGGTGCTTCTCTGCGCGTCCCACCACCTTTAGAGACGTCCGCGCGATCCTACCCTCCCTGGAGGCGTCCGCACCACAGGCGCCTGTTTCTTCAGAGGAGCGGGGTATAAAAGCTCTCTCTAGAATGTCGACCTTAGCGGTCGACCAGCTTACCTCCCTTCGGCATTCCTCAGGGCTTTCCAGGACGTCTTTACCTTCACGGCTCACAAAACATGTCCCCCGTCGTGCAGCAGAAGCACAAGGTGAAGGTTAGTTGTTGTCTGCTTCTGTATGACGTTGGCGTGCTGCTGACTTACGCCTCTACTTGGGTTCTCTCCTCAACCTCTTCGCACCGACTACTCGCTCGCTTGTTCCCTCTTCTCGTTCCGCTCTTCATTCCCGTCATCTACTGCCTTACATCCGCCCTCTAACCCCCCTCTGTCACTTTCTCTGTCTGTCGTGACCCGGTACTTTCTGAATTTCAACCACTTCGGGGACCCAATTAAGGTAGGCCTCGTAATCACCAATGATTTCTTTTACCGCTCATGTACATCTTTATCTATAATGATTAGAACCATCGCTGCAAGGATTGCAACGTGGAGTTTGTGAACAAAAGGAATGCAATCGAACATGGCTGCCATAAGTAAGCATCGAATCTTCGTGATCGCGACACCCTGAATTCACCTATCATTTTGCTCCTTTCAAAGGGATGTTCCTCGCTTCTCCTGTTTATGGTGCTGGGATAAAAAATTCTCAATAAGTGACATGAAGAAACATCTCAAAGCGACACATTCTAGTATTGATGTCACGACGGGCGTCCATTGGCTGTTTGATGACTGTACGTTGCTGTCAATTCTCAGCGCACCTTTAAATTAACCTAAGCACGACAGTGGATTATTACAAGGAAAAGAGAGAATTCAGAATTGAAGCCATCGATGGTCGATGCAATATGGAAACGGTTAGTTTTCGTTTCGTCAGATTTATGCAACGTCTTGCTAACCGCTTCATTTTCAGGCGAACGACTTTGCGAAGTAAGTCGATTCATGCAAGAGGATGGAGGCTGCCGGCCACGAGCTCATAGAAGGTAGAAGAAGTGTTAAGCGTCGCGGTGCCGAGTTGATACCGTTTTCATTTTGCATCTGTGAAGCGCTTACACCGGTAGACGGAGATTGGATTCCAGCGAACGTCGTATAAAACATTCAAAGCATGCATTTTAGATTATATAAAGAGCAAACTAACTGTCGGAGACAAATGTAACATGTTAACTGATTTCACTCCTCTTTCGCGTCGATATCGCCAAGGAACTCTCGAAACAACAACCGCGCTACAGCCTGCTTAGTAGATGTACGGCACGATCCGAGAGGAAACCTTCTTCTTGTACACCTCCCAGTCCTCGCCGTACTTCTTCTCGCACGCCTCGTCGTCGCGCCTCTGGCGGTGGATGAGCAGCACGGCGAAGTACATGACGTAGAAGTACGTGATGGGCGTGTTGAACCCGGTCGGCAGCGACCATGCGAACGCCATGACGAGGTCGCCCCTAAGCAAAGCAAATCGATCAGGTCAAGAACAAGCAAGCAAGGCATGACAGGGAACACACAAGTAGTTGGGGTGGCGCGAGCGGCCCCACCAGCCCGAGGTGAGGAGCTTGGAGCCGGATTTGGTGACGAAGAACTCGAGGTCTAGAAAGCAACGTCAGCGTCTTACGCAGAAGTACGGCTAAGGCAGGACAGCTCACTCTTAGGGTTCTTCCCGTTCCTGAAATCGTTCTTCTCCCCATTCGCGGCGCGGAAGATATAGTACCCCAGCAGATTCACAGCCACAATACCCGCCGTCGCATAGGGGCCGAGCTCGACCTGCTCAAACACGAGGTACCGCGCCTGAAGCGAGTACACAAACGGCACCCACACGAGGTCGCCGACGGCGAGCATGAACCCGAAGCCGTCGGTGGTGATGTCCATCGTCGTGAAGATGGCGGGCTCGTTGTAGAGCGCGTCGGCGACGTACCACGTCTGGAACGCGAGCACGAGCCACATCGACGCGGTCACCTCCGCCCAGCCGCCGCGGCGCGCGGCTTGTGTGCAGACCATGGAGAGGTCGATGAGCACCCAGAGGATGAGGCCGGGGCGGAGCTCGTTGAAGGATTTGATGTCCAAGGAGCCGACGGAGGGGTTGAGTTCGCGTCCGATGTACCACTATGGGAGGGGGGTTGGTTAGATGTCCTATGAGCGTTGGAGAGGAAGGGGGTTATACGTACGTCGTAGATGGGATTACCGGAGTTTCCACCGAGGGCGAGGAGCGCGCCAGAGCGGAAGGACATGGCGTAGACGTACAAAGCTTGAAAGACGGACATGGCGAGAGCAGCGGTGAGGAAGCCAACCCACTTGTCGTATATGAAAGTGAACGCCTCGGGGCCGTTGCGAAGTATAAAGCCGGACGCGATACCCATGGCAAGGAGGAACGTTGAGAACGCTGTAGAGAAACAACTATCAGAATTTGGCCCTCTACAATCGACAAGAGTCACAGCAGAGAGGAAACACGCCGGGGATGAAGAAAACCGAAGAAAACTACTCACCATTAATCTTATACTGCTTCCTCCCCCCAGTCCTCATCTGCACCCCCTCAATCCAGTCACCCGGCAAAATCGCCCACGCCACGACGCAGAAGGCATACCACGCCGCATACATCGTCGCGGCTTCCTTGTCCCAGAGGGATACCCACCACTCGGGGTTCTTCACCGCGTCCTGGACGCGCTCTGAGATGGTGGTGAGGTCGAGCGTGGGTGGACAGCCGCCGGTCTCCTCGGAGCAGCCATAGTAAAGCGCGAAGGTCATGATGGGCACACCGACGGAGATGAGGAACGCGCCGGGGGGGCCGAGAAACTCGTAAGAGGTCGTGCGCGGGTTAAGCGCGCTGCCGCCTTTGGCGATGGCGTCCTTTTCTGTTTTGGCCATCGTGTCTGACGGTCAAAGGGATACAGAGAAGTAAACAAGCGAAAGTGATGTGAAGGGGGGAGAAACGGGGGCTGTTTATGAAGGCGAGGGGCGCGCTCTCAGCGTTGCGAGTGTCGTCCCACTTGAACAACAAGCTGCAATAGCCTCGCGCGACTTCCCACGCTCAAACTCGAGACGTCATTGGACGGCGTCCGCTTTGGGAAGCTGTGGCAATGGAAATCGTCAGATTTTGGCACACGCGTTTCGGTTGCTCTTGTCTTCGACCCGTCGGAATCCTCGACTGTGCCTCCGGAACGACATCGACTTGTGGGATGCTGCGCGCCTCGACGAGGTATCGTGCCATAAAAATCGCCTGATAACGCGCTGCGAACACAGTCAACTCGTGGTGAGCGAGCTTCTAACTCCATTGGCCTCACATGGTGTCGTGTAGTCCGTTCAGGCTTCAGCTTCAGCTATCGACGTCTCGTGCTGTGCAATAGCCGACCATGCAGGGTTCTGAATGCTTCGTTGCAGAGCTTACAACCTGATTGTTAAAAGTAAGCTATGCCCTCAGATTCAGAAAGAGATATCTCGACTCAAGACGACGTTCGTCCAGGAGAATCTCTAGTTCATATTCCTCGGTCTTTGCTTCATGAGATTATACGCTGAGGCCAACAGAATACTCAAAATGCAAACTTCCTGGATCGCTACTCTGGGGTTACCGTCTCTTGACTTGCCACAACTCCACCGAAAGCCACCCTTGATACGCTAGATGAGCATCATCCACGCTATCACAACCATAGAAGGACAAGAGCTCGTTCCACCACCAGAGGTAATCAAGATCCAAAGTAACAGGATGCCCGAAGATATTGCGCGCTTTTACGACGTTACCGGGCGCGGAGAGGAACGCCAATAAGAAGGTGCTTACTGCGAAGACGAAGAGTAAGTGTCGATACCTCACAGTGGCTCACGATGCGTTCGTAGGACACGCAGTCGCGGGACGAGACCGCCGATGAGGAACCTGCCAGTGAATTGATCCGGGCGAGTCCATTGAGGTTGCAATGGCAAATTTACAGTTGCGCTGCAATAATAAGGCTTAAACAGGACGCACTCAGGGGGCGCTTGAGAGGTGCCTGTCGAGTTGCCGAGGATGTAACGCCACTTCTTCAACGTGTCCTAAACTTTGAACAACTTTGACGACAGGGCAGGCGAGGAGCTAAGATACGAACTGATATAAGATCGGCTGAGTACGGTGAGTGACCGCCGCATGCTGAAGCGAGCACTCCTGGTCGTTGCCACTGGCTACGTATTACAAGTATCATTCCCAGATTAGCATATGTCATGAGGGGAGTCGCGAAGGTCGCGGTTCAAGGGTTTGCAGACTACCTCTCGCATGCTACGTACAGTAACTAGCTACTCCACTACTATAGACTAGATGTCGATTATAATGACTTTCGGTGTATTTATATTTCTTGCTGGATATCGACCACGGTACGTCCATGTATCTGATGCCAGAAGAGTGTTGGCTTTTACTGAGACGGCAGCGTGTCAGCGAGAAATCCAGTTCTATATTGTGCTTTACGAAAGTAACTCGATGGAGACAAAGTTTGTGTATTTCCGTATATTGTGGGGATAAACGCAATGAACGAAAGCGCTCACCAGCCTCGAAATACACCTCGCCTCCAAGTTGGGTTTGGACTTGGGCGATGGCCCATGCCATGGCCACTACCTCGTCTGCGGGCAACCGACATTGCGGACTCCGCGACGATGGGCATGCTGTCCAGCGCCGTCCGCTTCCTCCTGGGCAAGGGGAAGCGCGCGGCGTTCCCGAGGACCATGGCATATTACGAGCGTCCCCTCAGTGACGAGCGCGTAAGGAAGTGTTTTCCGAGGCGGGAGTAAATCGAGACGAGGGAACTGAGATGGAGCTCATGGTGAATTGAGGAACGGCTGGGGAGTAGCTTGAACTTGTGCGATGCGCCGTAATTGGATGTAGTTGTGCGGCGAGCGTTTATAACCCCTTGAGTTGCACAAAGCTCCCTGAGTCTCTGCCAGACGAACGACCCGGACTGCTAGTTCGGAGGATTTCCCCAGTCAAATAGAAATCAGGTGAGGCTTCACTAAGTGGGAATGTCTCACATCGCAAGGTCTTGGTTGGACTACATTCGTAGCTCGAGTTGCAGGAGTTTTGTGTAGCGCCTAAGCATGTAGTACTTATCCTACGAAATTGCGCCCTTTATCCATTTCACCAAAGGTGAGTGCCGCTCGTTCGTCCAAAAGCTTTACTATGTAGGGAAAGAGGAAGAGAATGTCGGCTAAGAGGACATTACCTTGTGCTGTATTCTGCTCCAGCCAGTGGGTTGTAGACTCCATATCATACTTATAACCAAGCGCGAAAGTATAATGTGGTGCAATCGGCAGTGGGCTGAAAAGGAGGGACCCTCGGCCATGGGCCATGTCGCGCATTGGTTCACGACACACTCGTAGAGCACGTAACTATTGGTCGAACCCACGAACTAGATATGCAAGGTGGTTGAGTGAGCGCAGCGAGGCTGTTAAGGCGAACGGGGGAAAACATGGTTGGGCGGCGGAGAACATGGCTAGAACAGGAGAGGGACTCGGAGGACCCATAAGGCGCTCGACGGGGGGCTGTTGAGACACTGAAACGATATCGGTGATTCTTCGACCCGACCATAGGATGTGAAAGCCAGGGGAGAAATGGGACAGCTCGTCTGAGCCAGAGTTCGAGTGCGGCTAGCAATCGCCGTGTCCTGAAACATCAACGGCGAGCATACTGGCCGTTGCAATTGGCCACGCAGCAGCATGTCTTCCGAGCGTCATCCTGACGGAGACGTTTGTGGATCGTGAGAGATCGTGAGTCAAGGGTTTTTGCATACGGACATCCTCGGTGACTGCAGCAAGTATGTTTTGGTCAAGAAATTGTGTTGGTGAGAAAGGGTGAGAAATTAATGCTTCAGGAACGCGGCGTGTCTATAGTGTGCACAGCTTTTCTTCTCCGATGGTTGCCGAAATGGGTCATCACGAACAAAAAATCTCAAGCTCTGTCTGAAGCCTCGAGGATGTATGCGGTGCGACTACTGCACATGCTCTGATTCGAGAACCGCATTGCCATGTCGCTGGGCATTTCGGAGCTCACCACAAATGTCGTGGTTCAGTCAGGTCTTGAACATGGCAAGAACATGGTGAATTCCAAGTTCGAGGACGTCAAGGAGAACGCCCGTGCTTGTTCCTTTGCAAGCGGCTCGTTTCACCCCAAAGGTTTTGTAACGTTTAACTTTCCAACCCTTTCAAGGCGTCAAAACCCTGGTCTTCATGTTCAAGCTTCAAGGTCGAGCTTCCTTGGCGCCGGCGACTCCTGCCCGCGCGGCGCGCGTGGTGCCGGCACATATACTCGGCATCGTTGGTGGGTACCTTGTTGTCGGGGTCGTCGCCGCTCGATGTGGTCGGTCTCGAGGCGCCGGCCTTACAATTTAGTCGTCTGCGAAGGTTGTGATAGCAGCCAACCGAAAATGCAATTATCAGGTCGAGTTTGGGTCAACTTCAACCTCGACCTTGAGTTTTGAGGCGGTCCTCGATATCCTATTTTCCCAGCCTAGCACGGCCATACTACTGACATACGCCGCCTTCGGAGGCCTCTTCGCGTTTTCCTTTTCTAACACTCCTCGAGGTAGATCGTGATCCGGAGCTGAGCGGACGCATGGTCGAAGATGGTGGAGGCTGTGCAGTGTCCGTTGACATGTTCGTTCCTCGCGGATTTCCCATCGTCAATGGCAGACGAAGATTCCCCGAATTGTCTATAAGAACGCGATCAACCCGACTCTCTGTCTCACTCATCAACCCTCTTCCCCTTCCTCACTTCGTATTTCAGTTTCTTTTCCCCTCCCTATTTTCCCGCTTCCTGGCCCTCACTCCCCGCCGCAGCGATGTTCCCCTCTCTCGCCCTCGCTGTCCTCGCTAGCGCACTCAGTGCCTCTGCACAGGTGACCTCGCCCTACCCCGGCGGACAGACCGTCGACAGCTGTGAATCGCTCAAGGGCTCGTGCAACGCGACGACGATTGACGTCAACAACGTCTGGAACTACCCGGCGTGTGCGCTCTTTGCGATCTGTAGCACGTGGAACTACAATGTCATCGACTCGCTCGCGTCTATCGGTGCTCCGCATACCCAGCCGGTGGTGCCTGAGTCGGTGAGCACCTAGTTGGTTTGGCTTATGGATGAGTTCACTGACAGGGCTGCACAAAAGACGTTCAAGAACATCACGAACGGCGCAGATGTTCTCACCCAGCAGGGTTACGTCGATGCATACCACTACGAGCTTTCTATTACCCCTGGAGCTAAGAACGCGTCTGGGTAAGCGTACTTAGTACGTCGTATGTATGCCTTTGATCTGACCACTGTCTTCGTATCGTAGTGATGCAGATCTCGTCGGCCAATACCAGTGGCTTGCTGCTTGGACCGGTTTCTGCGGTCAAGACGGCATCCCCTACCAGAACTTTGCTGTAAGACTTAATCCCCTCGTCGTGTCCGTGAAGACTGACACGGTCCCCCGCAGGACTTTTTCCAATACGACGGCACCCCGGGCGTTTGCCCTTCCACCCAATCGTGCAACGCGACCATAGCCGCCTCGGCCCAGCAGTGCGTCCCGCAGCCGATCACGGACAACGGCTCGTGCGCCGAAGTCGTGAGCGAGTGCGAGAACTTCATCCAGAACGGGCTCTTCCAGAGCACGTACTGCGTCCTCGCGAGCATGTGCTACGCCGAGAGTACCACGGACGTGCTCATCAATGACATCTATCCGTCATACATCCAGGGCAGCAGCCGCCCGACGACAGCCAACGAGACGCGCCTGAGCATCGATGTGTTCCATAACTTCACGGGCGGTGCTGACACAATGGGTCTGCAGAACGCGATCGACGCGTACTACGGCGCTCTGGTATGCTTTTGTCTTTCCTTAATGACTTTCTGAGCGGTCGCTGATCACCTCTCCTCTACTTTCTTGGCGTACAGACCAACGTATGGGAACCCGAGGGTCCTTTCGGCGCCGGTGCCGGTGTTCAGACTGGCCAGAACGGTCCTTACCCGACCTCGACCGACTACATCGAGAACTTCTGGTCCATCATCGCTGCGTGGACCGGCAACTGCGACACGCTCGAGATCCCGTATGACAACCTCGCTGACTACCTCTCATACGCCGTGTACAGCGGCTACCACCCCAAGTGCTAAATGCACGATTATTCCCGAAACCGTGTAGGGTGTGGATCGATCACGATGGACTATTACTTGGGCTGTTTTGGACCTTGTTCGTTGACACTATTAATACCTTGGACTCTGTTGTTATTTCACGTTACATCACGCTACGCTCTTTACCCGTGGACTCAGTGGCTACATTAGTAGTAATGGTCGTTACAATGAAGTGATGCTTTTGTGTTTCGTACTATGCATGAAGTACTACCTCCTGAAGTTTTAACTCATAAAGCTAAAGCGCGACATGTCACGCGTGGGTACCTTCTCTTTACAGCCCCACTTCCCCGTTGTAACCTTCCACGGGCAGCCACCACACACATTCAAATAAAAACACAGCAACCTCCCCTGACAGAATCATCGTCATCTTCTTCAGACTCTGGTTCCGATATATCGCCGTCGCTCGCTACGGCTTCTCTCTTTCTTTGCTCTTCGGCACGCTTGAGACGCAGCCTCAGCTTTTTCGGAAGACCGACGGCCAAGAGCTGTCTTTGCTATCAGCCTACGTCCTCGGGATGAAGGTTATGTCGCACCTCTTTTGTTCTCGCTGGTGAAACAATAACCACGGACGAACAGTGACCACTACGCTCAGAAATTGCAGCGTGCTGCTCTCCGTGCATGAGCTGGTTCATCTCAACATCACCGCGTGACTTAGTCGTGGATTGTGTACGATGGCGCCTAGAAAAGCGAGTCCAAAGTCTACGTATCATGTTATCTGTCTCTTTGTTTGAGATGCTCTTCTCGGATCTAATGGACCTTTCTTCGGATTGGCAAGTGTTCCGGCAACGGTCTTCGGAGCCATTACACGTGGAGTGGGTACGTTCATCTCTGAAGAGGCCACGCTGAAGTATAGACCAAATGTGGCGTATGACTTGCACCGGTTTACTTTCCACACGCTCGAGTATCTGCTCGGTGGGCTTATTTGAATTGGAGACATGTTGCTGTCGACAACGTTAGCAACCAGGCGGGTATTAACGTCGCCTCAGGGAGTATAGTCACCTCTAGGGAATTTAGAATCGCTGTAGCCGCACCATTCCGGTTCTGTATAGTTGCTGGCCTCTGTATGTGGTCAAGATCACCCTTTAATTTGGATGAAGCTTGTATCTTACATTCATCCAGGAATCCAAGGAATCCCGAGTTGACCGTTTCTTCTCCGGCTCTTTCTGCAAATTCTTCATGTTAACAGCTTACAGCTTACCTTATGATCGCAAGGGGAAAAATAAACGCACAGATCGTCTACGTTGAGCGTCTCTCTGTTTCCCATTCTCATTTGTAAGTCAGTCGAGCTGTTTCGTTGCGGAAAAAAAACATGCCTGTTCTTTTAACATCCTTTCCCGATGCTCGTCGATGCGCCTCCGAGCGCGAGATGATGCTTCGTAAGTGGTGACGGGATAATCGAGTCTGACACTCCGCAGCTTGAATACTTCATGCATCATATCTCCACTAGTAGATGCAGGGTCATTGGAGCTTGAGGTTTCGAAGTTGCCAAAAGCCATAGATGTCCCATCGTTTTCGTTCAAAGCGGTCGATAACCTTGCCAGCTCAAACGAAGACTCTGAATTTCGTCTTAAGCTTCTGCCGTTTGAGTCCTGTTGGTGTTCGTTACTAGGTTTGATATCAGGGGATGACATCGCGTGTCAAGAGGAGTCGAAACCAGGATGGTGGGGGATATGTTGGGTGTCAGGAGGGAGAGAAAGAACACATATCAAGCACGAGCACGAGGCCTTGCTGTACATCGCGCAGCGGAGACTAAAAAAGAGCGCGCGCATATCACGAGGTTTAGGTATTTAGGCGCTTGAACCTTCATATTAAACATACGAATGATTTATTTGACATCCGACCGGTATCATGCTCCGCTTTTGACACCTCCTGTTGTTTGAATTTGTAAGATAACCATTGTCACTGGCACAAGTATTTTCGATAATGACATTCAAACCAGGGAGGGGCAGCCTGGGTAAAGTCCAAGATGTTGATTGATATTAAACATGCTATGAATGCAAATATACAGCCCGCGATGAAGTAAGGATATTGGTGTCAATATGTGGCGGCTTGAAGGCGCTACTATATCATATCAATGCCAGCGCTAGGTTCTTTATAGTACTTATGTGGACTCGGTACTAGTAGCTAGTCTCTGGATCAGTAGTGGACTTGTGACTTTTTGTGCTACGCAAAGAGAAAATCCACAGTTTGGCTCTCTGTGGTGAAAGAAAAGGTCTCGTTACTTTGACGCTTCATGTGTTACTGAGTCACTTGACCTCGGGCTGAGTCGAGTTCGAGTCGAGTTCTGGTCGGGGTGCTACACCGGAACGGGAAATTTGAGGTGGCGCTATTTTTCCTGTGATAACAGTTGCATCGCACGGATCCTGAATGCATCCCACCATTTTGATACAATACCACGATAATAGGCTACGGATATTGAACAGTCGCCGGATACTCTGACATATTCTGCGAGCTTACCCATTCCCGACTAAAGAAACATGGGCTCGTCACATCGCCTCTGATGTTCAAACGGAGGGCGGTGACAAGTTCAGCGCTCAGTACTCTCCTTCCAATACACTGCAGCAAATATTCCCCTCCTTCAAGACTCTCGTGTTCGCTCCCTCCAGCGGAAGATGGCGTTCTGTGCTATTGGGTCCGATGTACTCGGGTGCAGTAGTAGCTGGAGATTTCCGAGATCTAATCTGGCAACGGCCCACAATGCCGCGATCGTCTCGTCGAACACTTCCATAGTACGCCCACCTGGACCACCAACGATCAGTCGTCAGAGACTGAACCCGAAACATGACTATCGAACAAAAGTCGAGCGAGCCGCATCAAGCACAGGCAGACCCTGGCAACGCCGCCATCCACGATGCACTCGCGGCGCTCATGGACGAGCAGCCTTCCCTCGGCCAGAAAAAGCTCTGGCAGCTCCTCTGTAAGCGTCATCCGGACTGGAAAGTTGGCCAAGCGCGCGCCGAGCGACTCGTCAAGGAGATCAGAGCGGAGCGGGTCCCGGCTGCGTCCGGCTCTGCGTCGAATGGATCGAATGGGGCTTCTTCTGGCACGGTAGAGGGAGGAGAGGGCCAAACGGCGGAAACGGGCCACATCTATCCGTCATGGGAGTTGAACAAGGCGCTGGATCTGCGCGATATGCTGGGAGCAGAGGGGAGCGTGAAGGTGCAGACGTTCACCAAGACAAAAGGCAAAGGTCTCGTCGCGACGCGGCGGATCAAGGAGGGCGAGGTTGTGTGGAGAGAGGAACCGTGGGTGTTGGCTGCTCGAGGGTGCGTCTTCCTCTTTCTTCCTCGCTCACTCGCATCCAACTTGGTACTCTCAGGCTAGAACCAGGTTCCGACCCATCCGAATCTTCACTGCTCAAGCTCCAAGATTCGGGGGCAGCATGCACCCACTGCGGCGCCTGGACGCCTGGCGAGCCGGGGAAGAACCTCGCCCCATGCCCATCCCAAAAACGCGCGTTATTCGAGTCCAACGTCAAGCCGTGCCGTGCACGCTTCTGCAAGGGCGGGCGGTGTCTCGAATACGTCAAAGGCCCGCACCGGCTGCTCTGCATCGCGGACAATCCGGCATGTGCACCGCTGCTCGAGCTCGTGCGCAAGGAGAACAAGATGGCGTTACATACGGTCGCGCGGAGCACCGCGAAACTTATATTTGCGGATAAGGGTGGGGGGAGTAAGGGAAAGGAAAAGGACATGGCAGTGTGGAATGGGCTCGCGGCGCTGGATGCGAAAGTGCAGGAGCAGTATAAGTGCGTATCCTCCTCTACTTCGCATTATCGGCCCTCATCTCACCGATCCAAAACTGACTCTTCCATGTTCTACGTGTGGATAAGGGCACAGAGCGTCGAGTCATCAGGACATCAGCTCGACTTTGGGCAAGACAGCACAGAGAGTGCGCCCGAGTCGGAGTGGACAGAGATGTACAAGCTGTATATCCAGACGTTCAAAAAGCCCCCTTCTGCTGCACAACGTACGAAACTCGCCGATGTACTCAAGAAAGGCATTCCTTCCGAAGTGGAGTTTCTGTTCGAGTACGACCAGTTCCTCATCTCGCTGGGGAAGATGAACCTCAGTGCGTCCTCAGTGCAATTTCGTGACGAGTTTCCGCTGATTTTGTTTACGCCTATACTCCACCCACTGTCCCCTATATCTTCGCGACTTCCGACTTCACTCTGAACGTCAAATCAGACATGGAGGGCCAATGCGGCCTCTACGAGCTGCATTCGCACCTCAACCACCACTGCCGGCCTAACCTTAAAGTCAAGCACCCGGACATGCACCGCTTCGCGTATATTTCCGTCGTCGCCGAGCGTGACATACAGCCGGGCGAGGAGCTGTCGATCTCGTATGTCGCGCCGGGGATGTCGCTTGAGGCGCGCAGGCGCGAGCTGCGCAAGTGGGGGTTTGGGGAGTGTCGATGTAGTGCGTGCGTCAAGGAGGCGAAGAAGCGGAGAGAAGAGGAGAGAAACAATACGGAGGGTGCGGGAGGTGCGGTTGAGGAGGTGGTGGAGGATGATATGCCAACGCCGAAGGCAGGGAACCAGAAGCTCAATGCTGATGAGTTCGCGTCAATGTTTGGTGTTGATGCTATCGAGCTGTAATAACTGGTGACATTGACGACTATATACATGACTCGAAAAATGTATCGGGTACCCGTCGATCTTGCGGAAGGGTCGTATCTGGAGGCCAAGATGGTACAACCAGACTTATCAATGGGGCATTGAAGCTGGTAGGGTCTGGTAGGGTTCTATACAAAACATGTATGCCGTAATCACTATATCGGATATGGTGTAACGGCTAACATTGCCGCCTCTCACGCGGCAGCTCGGGGTTCGACTCCCCGTATCCGAAGTCTTTTTCTCACCCTTCATCATCGTCGGAGTTGAAATAACGGGTTTGCGCTTGACGCCTCTTGGCCCGCACCTCCGCATCGTACATTTCTATCTTACCTCACTCCACTACCGCAACAGGCCTCACACTCGCCGCGACATATGGATGTCTCTCGATACACTTGTCAGATCCTAGCCCGTGAAATTGTCGGTGGGTCAACTTGGTGGCGGTACTTCGAAGGTGCCCGGTGACCTGCCGAACGGCATGGTCGAACATGTTCCGTCTATACTTCGGCCTCGGTTCATACTGTGGTCTTCTCAGACACTTGGAGAGGCTATGCGTACCATGAGGTACCATGGTTCCTGCCCCTGCCCAGGCACTTCTTAGTCTCCGTGTCTTGCAGGACGGGCATGACATCCCGAAAGTTGCAAGGGTCCGGTATGCATTCTGAAACCCTTCCTCGGCTATAAGAACGCCTTCATGCAACTTGAGCGATCCAACCAAGTCTGTCTCACATCCTGCTTCAGCTCGGTTTCTCCAGCTCTCCTCTTTCGCACCTTTCCTCGCTGCATAACCACGGAATGTTTTCCTTTGTGGCTCTCGCCGCCTTCGCCGGTGCGCTCAGCGTCTCTGCACAGGTGATCTCGCCCTATCCCGACGGGCCGACAGTCGACAGCTGCGAGTCGCTTAAGGGGTCGTGCAACGCGTCCACGATCGACGTCAACAATGTTTGGAACTACCCATCGTGCGCCCTCTTTGCGATCTGCAGCACGTGGGACTACGATGTCGTCGATTCGCTCGCGTCTATCGGTGCACCACACACCCAGCCAAGGATGCCCGAGTCGGTGAGGATCTGGTCTGCATTCTCGGAGTGGTTGGCTGATGAGGATGCGTTCTAGACGTTCAACAATATCACAAACGGCGCCGATATTCTCACGCAGCAGAGTTATGTGGATGCGTACCACTACCAGATTTCCGTTACACCGGGTGCTACGAACGCAACAAGGTAACGTGTGGTTCCAGTAGCACACGAATAACCTAGATCTGACCATTGCTATCGTAATCAGCGACGATTACCTTGTTGGCCAGTACCAGTACCTCGCTGCTTGGACTGGCTTCTGCGGTCAAGATGGTATCCCCTACCAGAACTTCGCTGTAAGCCCCGCCTTCTCTCCCGCGATTCCACAAAGTCTAACCTGCAATGTCATAGGACTTCTTCCAATACGAATCCACCCCAGGTGTCTGCCCCGCTGTTCAGTCCTGCGATGCAAGCATCAATGCCGGCGCGGAGCCATGCGTTCCCCAGCCGATCACGGACAATGGCTCGTGCGCCGAAGTTGTCAACGAGTGCACGAACTTCATCCAGAACGGGCTTTTCCAGAGCACGTACTGCGTCCTCGCGAGCATGTGCTACGCCGAGAGCGACACCGACGTGTTGATTAATAACATGTACCCATCATACATCACCGGAAGCCTGCGCCCGACGACGGCCACTGAAGCGCGCCTGAGCATCGATGTTTTCCATAACATGACTGGTGGCTCGGATACAATGGGTCTGCAGAACGCTATTGATGCGTACTATGGCGCGTTGGTGAGTATCACGTTTATCTGACCTTCTCGGGGATTCTTGTTTACCACTCTCCTTCGTATGCGTAGACCAACACCTGGCAACCCGAGGGACCCTTCCTCGCCGGCGCTGGTTACCAGACCAACAACAACGGCCCCTACCCGACCTCGGCCGACTATGTCGAGAATTTCTGGTCCATCATCGCCGCCTGGACTGGATTCTGCGACACGCTCGAGATCCCGTACAACAACCTTGCTGACTACCTCTCGTATGCTGTGTACAGCAACTACCACCCCACGTGTTAGTTGTATTCTCCGGGGTAAATTTCTAATGACTTTACATAATTTGGACTGGTTGATAAAGTAGCCTTACCGCCCGCTCAGTACTTGTTTGGACGTTTAAGTAATGGACTCTCTCATGGGCTGATTTACGATATATACTGCATGGACTGTACTTTGAAATATTGAGCAATGTATAATGAAAAGTAGCGACAAGAGGTCTTTTTGATGTTCACGACCATGTTCTACACTTACGGAGAATCACGGACTCGGAGGTATTAGTAATAAGCGCCAATTTTGTGCTGACGTCAACGTCGCAACTTGAAAGTTCCATGTCTCTTTCAACTCTTCTTCAGACAACCTGCCAAGACTCAGGGGCAGCGCTCTTTGAGCTTTACACTTTCCTCAACACTAACAGCAGAGGCGTTCGCGTACCATTTAAGCTGCACGACCGTTGCCAGAAGATTGTCATGGGTGAGTACGTGATTTTCTGTCTTACTTACAGTGCGTAAAACAGTTGACATGGATTGCAACAAGGCTAGAACGAGACTATCAACGCCGTGGTTGGCTCCCCAGTGGTCCATCTCTCGAGCGCTCACGTTCTCGGGCCTAATGGTCGTTACTTGGTTGCTACCACGCGCTGAAATGATGCGTTGGTGATGGTTGAGGAACGGGTGGGAACAAGATGAGATGAAGGTGTCTTCACTAACGTCCATTCGCCACTGGCGGTATACCATGTGCATGTGAACTGCGACCGCTAGCCGCTAGGCTGTACACATGTTACATGTCGTCCGATGAGGTAGTAAGTTACCGAGGTGGAGTCCGCGACACATGAAATTACACAGCTTTCTTTGATTCGGGATCAAGCTTCTCGCTGTTATGGTTTCTTTAACGGTTTCTCCTTCAACATGCAATATCCTGCCAAGACCTTGGGATATGATATTTATCGACTCATCATCAAATATCGGCTATTCTGGGCTGACTAAGGGAGACTACTTGGGGGCTATCGTCGCTACTTGCTTTCTAGGTTGCTTCCTGAATGGCTCCGCTGACCCTGATCCACGGTAAATTTTGGCCGCTACAATATCATGATGTTTCGTATAAATACTATGCATCGTCTCGTAGCACAAGGTGCGACTCACCTCTCCCAGACATCCTTCTTGACATTCCCCTCGAGATGCACGCTTTCCTCCGATCGACCATCCTCGCAAGCGTTCTCACTTCTGCATATGCTCAGTACACTCCTCAGAGCTGCGATTGGCTGAGCAACACCTGCAACAAGAATGTGACGGATCTGAACAACGTCTGGAATAGCACCGCATGCGCTCAATATGCGCTCTGCCAGCAGAACGAGAGGACACCCGCATCCGTCCTCCAGTGGCTTGGCGCACCTACGGATCAGCCACGCCTGACCCAGTCCGCCTTCAGCGGTTTGTCGCAGGGCGCAGACACGCTCACGAACGACACGTACAGCACAGGCTATCAGGCGGCGGTGAAAGCCGCGGGTGGAACATATGACTCCCAGTACGTCCTCATTCCTGTTTGTGGATAGCGATGTTTACTTACTGCTGTTGCTCTTTACAAGGGCTGACGACCGTACCGTCAACGGCCAGTACCTCATTGCTGCAGCGTGGACCAACAGCTGCGACGGCAGCATCTCATACTCCAGCCTCGCTGATTGGTTCGAACATTCGTCGAACCCCGGCACTTGCCCAGCTGTTACGTCGTGTGATGGGCAGTACGCCGCCCTGAACAAGCCGTGCGGCACCCAGCCGGCTGAGGACAATGGGTCGTGCAAGGCAATTCGGGACCAGTGCGAGTTTTGGATCACCCAGGGCGCGTGGCAGAACGAGTACTGCGCACTCGGCGCGATGTGTTCGAGCGCGGAGGGGGCGACGCCCGACGTCATGATCCGTACGATCTACCCAACCTACGTCAGCAACGAGGACATCCCCACCGCTGGCTCTATCGACCGTCTCAGCACGGACGCGTTTCATAACATGACCGGCGGTGCCGACACCATGTCGCTACAGAACGCAATTGACGCGTACTACGGTGCTCTCGTACGTACTAGTTGCGTTGACAATTCTTTGTGGTTTAACTTATATTCTTTATCAGACTAACACCTGGACCTCGTTGGGTGGCCCCTTTGGTGCCGAGAGTCCCTCCCGTAGCGGCAATAATGGTCCTTACCCCACCTCATCTGACTACATCACCGGGTTTTGGAAGTCAGTTGCTGCGTGGACTGGTAACTGCGACACCCTCGAGATCGGGTATGACAACCTTGCAGACTGGTTCCAGTATTCGTCGGATAACAGCAACAACTCCACTTGCTGAGAGGGGGGCACATTTTGCACTGGGCTTTATTAAAGAGGTTTAAAATTTCGCATTCACCTTTCCGCCCGTTTATCAGTCGATTATCTACTTTATGGACCTTGTTTTGGAACTTGCGTATAGAAAAAACTGAGCTCTGAGATATTAGCAGAACGGCGACTTAGAAATGACAACTTCTCAAGGGACGCAAAATGAAAGTATCAAATATAAATTGACGCTTCAAATACATGGCAATCCAGCACAAGCCATTTAAATACTACAGAGGATAAAATACATAATTAAGTGCTTAAGCGCATTGACGAGAGACATAAAGTCGCAGAGCTCCGAGACACGAGGTCACATATGATCGAGACGCGAAGTCACAAATCAAAGGCGAACGCACGAAGTCTCGACGAGCGACGGAGGCACGAAGCCCAAGAGAAAAGGGACCAAAGTCCTCAGAAACAGAGACCGAAGTCTCAAAGGATGCCAAAAATTTGGGGTAAATATACCCGATGATGAGGTGATGCGTAAAGCACCAAACCTCTTGCTACACGGAGGTGGGATGTGAGTCCGCACCAACGCTGAAGCACGACCGGGCCAATGAATGCACCAAGGTCGGAGAAAAGGATGAGAAATGTCGGTGCTGGGGTCGCCGGAGTCGATGGTCGCCAAAGCGGGTTGCCAGAGCAAGTCGTCAGAGCAAGCCGCCAGAGTGGTTGCCGGAGTGAATTACCACAATACGTCGCTAGAGCAGGTCGCCGTCGTAGGCGGCTGGAGCGAGTTTCCGAAGTCGACGTCGCGAGCATGGTAAGGCTCATGGTGTTGAACATGCGACGGTCCTGACCTCACAGCCGTTATGGCTGCTGATGGGCGGGACCGGAAGTCAAGGGCCAGCATAGAATTCGGCAGCGAGGAGCCGCGACGGTTATAGCGGAAGAGACGGCTCGAAGAGTATATGTCGTCGCAAGCAGCGCCTCTCGTGGGCTCTTGTACTGCTGGTCCTGGAGAACAAGATATGAGACGGGTGGAGGGCGAGAAAATAAATCAGACTTACCTAATCCGCATGGAGGCTGGCGAGTTAGTCAGTTACGTTGCTGGGCGAAAAACAGTTAGATATGGCGACAGCGACAAATAAGGAGACACACCATTATTTCCCTTTGGGGAGACGGAGCCACTCCTATGGCGGTTAGGTGTTACAGCGAGAACATATTGGTAGAACGAGATAACAGTCGCCGAGAATAGTGTCCGCGTCGTGAGTAGCGTCGGTCAGCGCCGCGGCCGACATTTCATACACTAGCCACGGTCTTGTAACGTGGGCATCATGTAGGCCACACAGCACGCACGGGCATTTTCCCGAGCTTCAGCCAATGCTAGCGCGCAACTGCGACGCTGCAGAGGCCTGCCAACAGCACGACGGGTAAAGAGAAAAGCATAGGGTCGTAGAGAGGATGCCGCTGAGAAGAGAGAGGAGGAGAGAAAAGCGAAAGGGAGCTGAGGAAAATTCGAGCGAGGAGGGCCTGCCTTTTATCCAGTTTCGATGCCCCGCTTACTTTGTACTTGTTGATTTGTAAAATTTCCTGATTCGTGCTTACAATGGGACCCACAAAGTGTCAAGTCGATGTCGGAGCTCGGCGGGTGGCTCCGTTGCATTTTTGTTCCGATCCCGTGCCAATCAGAAAGCTTCGAAAACGGTGGGTTGGCTCCTTAGCGCTTAGCCGTGACATCCAAGCTTGTTTTGGGAAAGCTGGCGGCTAGAAGTGCGATACGCGATAGGGCTGGTTAGAACACGAGGCGGGTTGGCAAAGGGTCGTCGCGAACCTGATGCTGCGTTCAAGTACCGGGGTCATGGCTCGCACAGGACTAGCATAATGAGCAAGTCCCGTTCGTCACTGAGAGGAACCGAGCTAAGCATGATTAACGTTGTGAATGTCTTCTTGTAATCGTCTTCAAGTTAACTCGCACAGCGCAGAATTCAAAGGACCTCAGGAGAAAAGAAGCAAGCAGAGAGACGCGAACACATGCCGGACGCCAGAGAACTGGACGGATCATTCCAAAAGCGTCGGGATACTTAGTCTGAGGAGCGACGGGAGAGGCGTTTGAATCGGACCTCGCCTGGCGAGCGAACAAAGGAAGACAACGGCGTCAGCGCCCGATATTGGGTGAGCATACATGGGCCAAAATATTGGCAAACATGTTGACAGCGCTAGGCTGTACTTACTTCCAGACTCCGACTATCAGACGATGAAGGGGTGTGGACACCTTTCAAGATCTTCGGAGGCAGGACGCTCCACCGTCAGATATGGGGATATCTCACCTTCTCTTGACGAATTCAACGCAGAAATTAGAGGGGGTTAGATGGTTTCAACACCTTCGTCATTTCTTGTCCAGGCTATAGGTTACAAAATTCAGAAGTGATCGTCTTCGTCTAGATCCTCTCTTCCCGCTGGATGAGCGGATCAGACTTTTGAGACCTTGATCACAACCTTCCCGACGTGCTTCTGAGACTCAAGATGCGCATACGCGTCAATGGCCTGTTCAAACGAGAAGACCTTGTCTATGACTGGTTTGATGTTCCTCGCCTTGAACAAACGGTTCATGGCGTTGAACCTGTAGCGTATGGACATGAGCTCACGCGTACCGCCCGAGGGACAAAGAGGGCGTTGCTTACTGTGCCACCGAGCCAATTAGGACGCCGCGATAAATATGCGCTTTCTTGGTTATTTCAAGGGTGGATACCCCGCTGTCGCCCTGGTGCGCGAGTGAGTAACTTAAAAGGCGTGAAGAAGCGGGGTTTTGAAAGCGGACCTCCGCAACACGGCCTACGACGTGGATATATCCAACCATCCGCGTCGCATTGGATGATTTTGTGATAGTCCCGGGGCCACCGACCTCCGTATACAGTTCGTAAGTCGTCTAGTCATTGACGAGTAAAGGTGGAGTCTCACTTCGATGGTATGGTCGACGCCGCGGCCGCCAGTCTGAACGGACAGGTTAATTTATCGAATCTTAGTACGGCGAGAAAGAAAACGCACAATCTTTAACACCTCTTGATCCCAGTTTGGGGTCGTTGTATAGTTGATGATATGGTGCGCTCCAATTTGTTGAGCTACCTTCAGCTTCTCGTCAGACGAAGAAGTCACGATGACCTCTGCGCCCGAGGCGAGGGCGATCTGAAGACCGAAACTACAAAAGACCCATGTTGAGCGTCAGAGGGATGCAGATCGTTGGAGGGAGAGAAGATCACATGGAAACACCGCCAGTGCCAAGGATAAGGACGGTGTCGCCTCCTTTGATGGGCTTGGGCCCATTGAGAGCGTTGTATGCCGTCAGCGCTGCGCAGCTGTTGATTTTGTTAGTTTACAGAACGTATATGTCAAGAGAGCACCCACGGAAGCGTCGATCCCTCCTCGTACGAGAGGTGTTCCGGGATGTGTACCAGCGACTGATAGTGTTTCAACGCAAGGCACAACATAGTACAGGATAAAAAGAACGTACATGCGAGGGAACGTTCATGTATTCCCTCAGCACTCCATCAACGGGGCCACCGAGACTCGTAGCGAAGATCTCCGCAGTGGTGTCGCCGTCGAGATGGTCGAGCGAGAAGTTCGCGCAGACGCGATCGCCAGCCTTCCAGCCCTTGACTTCTGCGCCCGCAATCACGATCTTGCCTGCCATATCGGAGCCAACGACGACGTTGGGCTTGATACTAGGTAGCGCTTGAGCCTATTCCGAAAACACAATCCATATGTGAAACTACGTACCCGCGGTAATGCCCACTAGCGACTAAGAGATCACGATACTGCAAGGATACAGCATGGATCTTTACGAGCACTTCTGTTGACTTGGGAAGCTCGAGAAGGGACTCGACAAGCATCAGGTTCTGGTAGCCTTCGCCCTGGAATACACATGTTAACCAAAGGTAACAAGGTTAAACTTCAGCAAAGTGAATCCGTACGTTCGAACGGTATTCACGAATGGTCTTGGGAAGAGACATGTCTAAGAAAGATGGGCCTGCGAGTGGTCAAGTGGTTGTTGGGGGGTGTGCTGGGCATCCCATCCTCGATGCGGCTTATATACTGGAGAAGGACTTCGATTGGGGGTGCCCCTGAATCAGCACATGTGGTCGAACATATCAAAGCGACGTGGTCGAGGTGGCGGATGATTCAGCAAATAGCTCAGAGTTCTGGCATTCGCTGCAGCTGCTTGAAGGTCCTGAGAAGGTATGACTGATGCGGTCCTCATCATACGAGCAAGCACCACTGCGAATGTTTTCTGCCGTACTTGAAATCCGACAGACGCTCTTTCGGTGAGAACTTGCGACTGCGACGGTTGGTAGAGGAACTTACGAATCATTGCCATCTGACGTTATAGCTACGTTTCTGGTAACGGAATTGGTCTCTGCTTACTACGACCAACTACGACCCTTGATCAGTTACTCAGCACGTCTCAAGACAAAGGTGTGACGACAGAAGGCGATGGGAAATGTTCTGGCTTTCTCATCCAGGTGCTGTAAAGTATGCGTCTGATTGATGTTCCTGTCTCGAAGCTTGATGGACGCACCCTGACGCGCCGACGCCGCTCCCTCAATAGCTTCCGCCAAGAGTCAATTCGTGGAGGAATAGACAGCTCATGGAGCCAAGGCGTTGGATGTTCATCTTCTGATATCTAAGTATCACAAAGGAAAATGGAGTGATTGTTGGGACATGTTATGATAGTCTACACACCGCTTCATGGACGCTAACATTAATGACGCGATGAACGCTATGCACGGGATGACTGGGAAGGTCAGAAGAGATAGGTCGGGTTTCGGAGGCTTCCGGTTCGGATGCAATGGCGGCGACGCGTATCGGCCTGCCCTTAACTACGCTTTCCGACTCTGCCCTGGGCTCTTCGCACTCTTTTGTACGCTCGCACTACACCATTGCAAGGTCGCTGATTTCAGCTCCTATGCACCAGGATTAACGCTATACCCTCAATAGAAGAGCTGCTCTCAGCTTCGAATCATCACGCAGGCACCTCTGTGATTCCCCAACTGGACTAGGCCATGATTACGGCCTGGCTTAACGCTTATGGGTGTACCGCCGTGCTTGTCGCATCGGTGACAGCATCCGACATCTATATCAACCTTCGAATATGGGGTGGAGGTTGCTCATATTCAATAGCACTAAGCTGACGCCACCGGAGCTGAGTCCTGGAAACAAGCGCCCTCCTCTAGCTTCACTGCATTGCGTAACGGCGGACTGTCTGGCCTTTCCCTTCCTGCTCTAGCAGCCCGCGCTGAAACTCGCTTACCGACGCATGCCGAACTCGAGCGCCTTCGCACAGCTGCACTCCTGGGAGGCAATGCAAACATGTCGCTCATAGAGAGCTCTCGAGACGAAAATAGAGGGATATTTATGACTACTTCTTCGACTGCGCATATACATTTACTACAACAGCGAACACACGCTGCGTCTCGAAGTCTCCCAATTGTAGGTCAAACGATATCTGCCTAGCACCTTTGTGGGCATCAACGGATACCATGTGCGCTCATACTTGCCTTTCACCGCCCCGTGCTCAACGCACTAACGCAAGGTCCCTGCGGCAATACCTGCATCGCATTAGTCTCATCTCCGTCGTAGCGCTGAAACGCACTAGTGATTATGAGCCTGTATAAGTACAGTGGTTTATCCATCCTCATCCACACCGACCCTCTCATTCCCCACCTTCGACTTCTTAGGCGCGAGTACTGTGTAACGATGAAGCTGTCGAGCGCCCTATTCGTTTCGGCGGGCTTCCTTCGTGTCGCCTTCGCACAGACATGGTCCGTCTTGTTGCATCTTTTTGTTTCTAAATTCTGACTTCTATGTCGTCACTAGGTGCGGCAAGAACTACATGGCGAATCAAACCGTTGTGCCTCCCGGCGGCCAATTCGCCCTCCCGGCGTCCTCAGAGGAGCCTCTCCTCGCCCTCCGCTGCGCCCCTGCATTCAGACCTTACCTTTCCGAAGACGCAACGAGCGCTGCTTTTGTCATTGACACCACCGTGGTGTATCAGTACATCGCTGGCGCAGCACCCATCACGCTCTCGAGCAACGCCAGTGCGACACTGAAGAGCTCGAGCATTGGCACGCTCAACATCACCATCTCCGCGAACGGGACGAACTTGATCACGACGCAGGTGCCGCTCAATGCAGCAGGATACGAAGTGCAAGCGAACCTGACTGCGCTCTCGGCGCAGCAGGCCGCGTACGATCTCACGTGCTCGGCGACGTTCTCGGAGCCGTCGTCGAATGAGGTGCAGAAGTTCGAGGCAAAGGGAGAGCTTCTGTACCTTCCTGACACGAATGGATCTGTGACGAAGACAGACTTGCGCACCGGTCTGTTATGGGCGCGTCCAGCTAATGGATCGGGTGGCGCGTTTGCGCCCATCATGCCTAACGGCTTCTACGTTAACTTCGACGAGTACTTGTCGAACAACTTGTCTATCATCGGCGACCTCAAGAAGGATGGGTTCAACACTGTAAGTACCCTTGCGTGATATTGAGGCCTGCCTACTCAAGCGCTGTAGATTCACCCTATCCCTCCGTTTACTAACACGACCGCGTTTGAGGAAATGCTCAACCTCACTGTCGAGAATGGCTTGTATATCACCTATGACATGCGGTCGTAAGTCTCGGTTTACTTGCCTCTTCGTCCTGAACTCACGCATTCACCAGATACTACCAAAACCTCACCGCCGTCTCCCAACTGGTCAACACCTACAAATCCCTGCCGAATCTCCTCACGTGGGAAACCGCACACGAGCCCGACGGCAACTCCGACCCGGTCGACGCTGCCCTCGCCGCGTATGACCTCATCTACGCGATCGACGGCTACCACCCCGTTGGGATAGTGCTCAACTGCGAGAACTACAACTTCTCGCCATACGCAGAGGGCGCGGACATCGTCCTCGAGGATGCGTACCCGATCGGGATCAACGCGACATGGTCTGTTGTCTGGGACACGCCGTGCACTCCCGACTTTGGGCACTGTGGGTGCGACAATTGTCAGGGCACCCAGGACGATATCCGGGCGCGCGTGCAGACGTACAAGGACAGGCTCGCGATACAGGGGTGGGAGCGGACGAAGTCTGTGTGGAGTGTGCCACAGGCATTTGGGGACGGCGCGTAAGTCCACGCTTTCTCCGCCTTTCGTGTGGACTATTAGCTGATGCAGGGATGCGCAGGTATTGGAGCACAATCCCTTCCGGCCAAGATTGGGCGACCATGATCATGACTTCGCTCAACCATGGCGCATCTGGTATCGTCTCGTATCAGTACCCGACTACGACCGGCAACGTCTCTACCATCGAAGGCACCGCGGCCGACCTCAACGGGCTGTTTGCTGCTAATATCGTGCCTTACCTCGCCGATCCCAACGCAGTCTTCGGCGGGTACCAGTTTGACGGCGTCGACGTCGGCGTGTGGAACAACGGCACCGTCTACCTACTCATGGCCCAGAACCTAAACAACGGCACGCAGCAGCCGTACGTACCTTTCGAGGCGGTGGGCCTCGGCGAGGTCAGCAACGCGACAACTCAGGTTCAGCGGGTGTTTTCGGTCAATCAGAAGGTGAACAATACGGGTTTGAACTTTTTGCCTAAGGGAATTGGGTTTTACTATGTTAACTTGGCTTCGACGACTCCTTCTAACTTGACTTCGGGTACCTGATGTATTTATTTATTGGTGTATTAAGTACTTTGCCTACTTTAATTTGTCTGTAGTCAACGCGTATCTTAATCAAAGTAATTATCTGATATTGAATATTTTAGACATAAATGGTGCATAAGGTCCTTGAAATAAGTTAGCGTAAGTAAATACCGAATCGAGATTGAATGAGAAAGTAGCTCGCACGAGCTCTATCTACGTTGGGAACTCGAGTACTCGAGGATAGTATACAGCGATACATAACACGTAGGAGAAGTACAAAGTCGTCACGATCTCATCATCGGTACACGCACGTTTGACCCGGGTTATCAACCTCGGTGTCAGACCCCGTGAGGAAACCTTCTTTCTCGCTGCATCATAAGCATTTCGGTCTCCATCCCACCACTTCTTCTCCTCGGGTTTCAAAAGCGCCCCATGGAACTCCGGTAACAAGACCTTGCCCAGGTTTGGATACCCACGTTCTGCATCCATGAGAGTGTGCATGACCTCGCGTAATCGTACCTCCTCGACCCGCTCCGCACTCATGGTAGCGTTGGCATCCTTGTGTTGGCGTATCTCTTGAATATGTTCGACGTTAATCATGCGAGTGGAAGGTGATCGTCGCGCGCCCGCAACGATCACGTTGAAGATCGTACCCAGACCTGCCGCAAACAGGAGGTACCAGGTGTGCGTCACCAGCTGGGACGTCAGCAAGAACGCGACCCATCCAAGTACGAGAGCCACGCAGACTATCTGGGTGAGGCGCAACCTTGCTGGGGAACCGAGGACAAGCAACTCCTTGTTCGGCGGACCATAATTTAATAGTGGAGATGGACCTGAGGCGAGATCCTCCAGGTCAATGGAACCCGGCTCGCCTTCATTGATGATGACGACTACGTTAGGTGATCCGTTTCCGCTTGTAATGGCGATAGCCTGTTTGCTGCCACGCCGTCCCGAGAATTTCTCGGCCCGCCATTGGGGAAGTGCCGCAGTTAGAAGGGTGAGGACGGTGGCTATTCCGGCGACTAGTAGCACGTAGTAGTCCCCGTAAAGGCCGCATGGAATGGCTGCAATGCCTAATTGGATGAGGATCACCGCAAAGCCGCTGTAATAGCACCAATCCAAAGCGGCACCTCCACCATAGATGGAGATGATCATGCTATTTCCTTCCAGTGGCTTCTGTGCGTCCCTGAAGAACCGACCTAGCATCCATGACTGGTTGGCACAGGATGTCCCGCGCCCGATGTTGTAGACCTTTGCAGTGTTGTCTGGTTTCGGAAGGAGTCGCCCGTCCCCGACCACGGACATGAGGGCGATGAGGGAGTAGGCTGCCCACCCAAAACTGAATGGGATTGGGACGAAGATAGGCCCTGTAAGCTGGGCCAGCGACTTTGCCACAACGTCTCCGCCAATGCTGAGTAAAACCGCAATAAATGAGGGGTGGATCCATGCATTGCGTAAAGTGTTGGATACGACGTCGGCATCGTTGCGCGGCACAATGACGGGGAACGCTCCTGCGGGGCGCACTAGTAGTGCGCAGATAGTCGAAACCAACAGCGAGATAGACATGCTTGAGAGAGCTGCTCAATGAGGGATGTCAGTAAGCTAAAGACGATTGATGGGATTTCACTGACCTGGTAACTCTGAGTTGATGTTGCTGGTTGTCGATCGGATAAGGTCACCAGCAGACAATCCTCTTTTAAATAGCTGGATAGACGGGCTCTTGCGCAGGATGGAGTTCACGTTGGCCTTAGGTTGGTGTGCATGCGCCATGTTGTATCCAGCCCTTGAAAGGTGATGCGAAGTTGTATGGAAACGTGAACATGAAATGGAGTGGATGTAAGGTGGAGCACGCACTTATGGTTATCTATGGACCGGTCTGCGCAAGGCTTTGACATCGCTTCCTACTTCAAGCACAGTGCAGATCATGTAAACTGGCTGCAGGCTTTAATGTAATGCACATACATGACGTTGGAACCAGCGGTAATAGCCTGTATTCTGTAATAGCCAGTAGCTGCGGGAGAATTTCAAATTGGTGGAAGATGGTGGATTGCGACGGGCGCCAAAGTCAGAAAAAAATCTATGAGGCGGGGTATTATTTATATGATTCGTGTCAGCAAACGGGTAGCAACGAAAATCTGTGAGCGACAAAGCACCGGAAAACATCTCACTTCATGCCGATTTAAGGGCGCATGAGCCCGGGCCGTTGATTTTCTAAATAACGCATGGTAGACATCCTCTATAAACCGTAAGTGCGACGATCATCACCAGGCGCTCATAGCGGTGACTTACCTACGCGACCATATCCATCTGTATAATATCCATCATTCACGCTAGTAGCGGTGCGCCGCCCAGCTGCCATCACACGTTGATGAATAAAAGTAGCCTCCTGTCCCCACCCCACTACATGTCCTTAAGCCAGAAGTCACAATTTTAGTAGCTCTAGAGTCAGCTTGACGAAGGCACGGACTGTATCCTCTGCTTCAAGTAGACGTTTCGGTAAAGACATTGCCATCACGAATAGTCAAACATGCCCACAAAGAAAGCCATGGCACTCGAGCTGGTCTAGAGGTTTTGATGTTTGTGGTCACCTATAACATATGTAGAGGAACGTGAAGGAAAGGAACACGAAGATATGGCCTTGGTAACGAAATTGCTGAAGCCCCGCGGGCGTAGGAAGAGCGCAAGAGCAATGAGTCTCAAGAATGAGGCCATGCATGACTCCGAGGACATTATGGGCGTCTGCTCGCCAGCACACCAGCCATGAGGCCGTTATACCGCTAGGGGCAGATTTGTGGACTGTGAGAGCTAGATGTTGCATGAGGGGGGCGGTAGCAGCTATTCTGGTCGAGACATGCTGTCATATGGGCGCTCCAATATCAACAAGCGCTCGAACAAGAACAATTTGGTACATACCCTTCGCAGCAGTGAATGCCACGGGATGACCGGGCGTGTCGGTCATTTTAGAATGACCGTGACCGACAGTGACCGACAGTGTCGGTCATCGTGACTAGTGACCGAGCGGACTTCTCGGAAGTTCGCGAATCATACCCATAAATAGTAATATTAAGTACACGTGACTGTCCGAAGTCGACGCGCGAGGGACGCGTTCGCCGAAGGCAATGCTCCCTCGCCGCCTCGCACAATGAAACACAGGCCGTATTGCTTTAATATGATAGTGTGACGTGTGATCCAAAATATGAGCGCCAAAATAAATTGAAAAGAGTAATTTCCGTATGTGAAACGAGATTTTGGAGCACCCTTCTATCACTGTGTGTAGTTAGCCATCCATTAACTAGCTACTCATGTATCTATGACACATAGCAATGAAGTGATGCAATAACACGAGATTAACACTCGGAAGTCGCTCGTATTCCGTCATGCCATGTCACTATTAATTAATTGTGAATGAATCTCTTTGGAGTCGAAGTCTGATCTACACACTACAAACAGCCTACATTAATCAGAGTGGCTACTTCGCCTTCATGGGCTGTACTGTGTGATTCGGCGGCCAATTACTAGCCGTTCAAGTCGCCGCTTTGTCTTGATATTCTGCAGAGACTTGAGTCGAGTTATAAAGTCTCTGCAGACTTAGAGGCAGAAAAAAACAACAAACCTACATGTCCCATAGTCCAGAATGCCCAGGGCTCCAGGCGCCGCTTTATCCATATCCAAGCCTGCTCTCGATGCCCCGTGGTGGCAGCATCACTTCCAACCCCACCCACTTCTACCTACGAAAGCTCGGGAGGCGTACATGGGCACTGGTCCCTCTGCTAAGCCAAAAATGTATTGTAATAAATGTCTACATTTTGATACAGGTATCGAGCAGAGTAAGGACCAAAAGGAGTACGAGCAAGGGGCTCGTGCTCATCTTCGCAGTGTCCAGGAGATCGAAGATTATTGTAAGCACCTCTATTTCTTCGAGCATAGCTATCTACTAATAGACTGATTTTATTTAGTGTGGGCTCTCGAACCCAACCGGCGGTGGGTTCGAGGTGTGGCAGACACGGCTCTGAACCACATGATTAAACATTGTCCCCATGTCACTACCGGGGACCGGGACACAGCGACCACTCTGCGCAGCGTCAAGAAGAAGGGAAAGAATAATCAGAACAACTTTCAAGATG